AAACAGAGCTCCCATACGAAGGGAGGGGACCCAAAGAGGGGAGCCGCTGCCGGCTGGAACGCCTGGGTTTATATCCCGATCATTGTCCCTCCCGCTGTGTTCTCAGGCAACGGATGATTGGCTATGTCTTTACCTCCTGTTTTTGTCTAATTAGCATTTTAGTGCTCTTTGCTATCTGATTGGCCGGGTGTGAGCTAAATTGCAAGCCCCGTGTTGAAAGCTGTAACCTTCCCAGCGAGGCTTAGGGATTCTTAGTCGGCCTAGGAAATCCAGCTAGTCCTGTCTCTCAGTCCCCCTCTCAAGTGCAGTCACATTTTTGAGACTCCTTCATTTCTTGCCCAACTCTTACCAACGGCCACAACCTCCTCTTCCCTCCTTGGATACCCGGGCCTAAGCCACAGCGCCTCTGGCTAGCAGGGTGGGAATCAGTTTCACTACCAGGAACCCCATGGGTTGGGGGCCACAGGTGTGCCAGGGGTGGGTGCCCAGGGAAAAGCCCAGAGAGGGGGTCCCTTCCACCGCCAGGCCCAGGCCCAGGCCCATCTGGGAACACACACACACAGTTGCTTTGCTGGATAGGCCCACAGGCAAGTGGGGCCTTGGCAATGAGTTCTCCCAGAGTCCCTTCCTCAGGCTGTGGCCTCCTCTCTTTATGGGAAACCATGGCAGAAGGGGGAGCCAGATTCCACAGCACCGCACCTCCCGAAGCTGGAAGGGGCCATAGGATCCTTTCCCCGACAACGCGGCCTGATTCTGGCATCTCCTCCTTGCACCGCACGTTTTTCTTTTTGCTTTTATCTTTTTTTTTTTTTCTCTTACCGCACGTTTTCTTTTTGCTTTTATCTTTTTTTTTTTTTTTTTTTGAGACGGAGTTTTTGCTCTGTGTCAGAGGCTGGAGCGCGTGGCGCGATCTCAGCTCACTGCAGCCTCCGCCTCCCGGGTTCAAGTGATTCTCCTGCCTCGGTCTCCTGAGTAGCTAGGATTATGGGTGTGCGCCACCATGCCTGACTAATTCTCTGTATTTTCAGTAGAAAGCAGGGGTTTCATCATGTTGGCCAGGCTGGTCTTGAATTCCTGACCTCAGTTTTTTTTTTTTTTTTTTTTTTTTTTTTTTTTTTTTTGAGACGGAGTTTTGCTCTGTTGTCCAGGCTGGAACGCAGTGGCGCGATCTCAGCTCACTGCAGCCTCCGCCTCCCGGGTTCAAGTGATTCTCCTGCCTCGGTCTCCTGAGTAGCTAGGATTATGGGTGTGCGCCACCATGCCTGACTAATTCTCTGTATTTTCAGTAGAAACGGGGTTTCATCATGTTGGCCAGGCTGGTCTTGAATTCCTGACCTCAGGTGATCCTCCCGCCTCGGCCTCCCAAAGTGCAGGGATTACAGGCGTGAGCCACCACGCCCGGCCGTGCACCTCACTTTTTAAGATGTTTGGGTACCATCTGTTCCCAACAGTTTTCCTTAAGTGAACTCAGTTTTTACAAACCTAAATTTTACTTTAAAAGGAAAAGATGTCATTACTCTAGGTGGATAATTAGTATCATTTATCATGAACACAACAAAATCACAAAAGTATATATTGTTGAAGCAATGAGGTCAGCGCCTTGAGGGCAGTGCTTTGGGATTTACTGCTATATCCCCAGCACGCAGAACAGTACCTGGTACATAACAGGTTCTTGAAATGTATTTCTGAATGCAGGATTGAGTACGTGATAAATGCAGAAAGGAGCCCTAAGCCTCTTGGTTAAAATGAGGAAAGGCAGGTATTAGGGGTCATAGCGATGCCAGCCCCAGATGGAGACTTTCTTCTTGATGTACTCAGAAGGACTGATTGACTTGAAAAAGGCAGAATGTCCTCCGCGCATGGCTGGGGACTCCTCAGTGCTGGTCTGGATGCAGCCTCGAGGTGTCTGAGTACCCGAACGTCCTGCTGGGGGGTGCACGCCAGGGTACCTGAAGCTCAGGGTGGCACCCGGGTGAGAGGCAGGGCCAGGGCTGGGGCATGTCACGGGCCCCCATGCATTTAGCCTGAGCGACGGGTCCCCTGAGGAGGCCTCCGAGTGTCCAGGAGAGCTTCCCCGGCAGCCCTGCTCCTGGGTGGTCCTGCTCACACACATGCATGTGACATGACGCATGACAGAGTGTGGGAACAGACATCAGCCCTTTCGGCTGCAGCCTTCCTGCTTCATCTCGGCCAGGAGGAGGACTTGCTAAGGGCTGGGTGCCCCAGGTGAACCCCCTGCTCCCACCCTGCACTGTGCTGGACACGCCTTCCTCACCCAGGGGCTGTTCCTGGAGCCTGGCGCGTGGGGTGTGAATCCGCACCTGGCAGGAGCCTGTGGGGGTGGCCGCCGCATCGGCGTGTTCGTCAGAGGCCTGGCACAGGAAACCCGACGTCATCCCTGACTCACCCCTCAGGCGGAGCTTGGGGTGGCCCGTCACTCTCACCTTCATCCCTAAACTGGCCCAAGCACTGTAGCCAAGCCACTCACCTCCCACCCGCTGTGGGGCATCTGCTTGGGGGTGGGGGCCGGGAGGAGGAAGGAAGGCTCTGCAGCATCAGTGTGGTGCTGAGTGAGGCAGCTGTGGAAGGGAGGGTCGCTGTGAGGGGAGGTGGGTGGATGTGCTGCCGGGGCCGGGAAAGACCTGGAATCCCAAAGGCAGGAGCCAGTGACGCTTAAACAGCCGTCAAAATAGATGGTTATAAAAAGAATAACACGCAGAATCATCATTTGTTCCTGTGAGTCTCATAGGTTTTCAATTTAAAAAAAAGTGCTGAGTCCAAACTTACTTGACAGTGACTGCTCTGTAAGAGCCAGGCCGAGAAAAACAAAAACAGAGAGAGCTCTGAGCAGGGACCCCCAACCTGGGTCAGCCCCTTTTCCATCCAGTGGCGAGGACCGGGTCCTGCTTCCAGAGCCTTCAGGCTGCGGGGCATCCAGCCTAGCAGAGACCCCTCCTCACCGCGTCCTCACCCTTACACCCAATGCCCTCCTCTCTGCTGTGGCTCCCAAGGCTGGGCTCTGGCGAACGGTGGTTGGGGAGACTCTGAGGGGGTGGTGGAGAGGAGCAGGCGTCCTGCACCATGATCGCCAGCGGCAGCACCCAAGGCTTAGGGGGCTTTTGTCAGAGCAAAAGCGGGAGAGGGACATGGGTTTGTGAGTCTCTCCCCCTCTTCTTACCCCAGCCCTGGGCTTTCACCCAGTAATCGGGGGTGGGGCTTTCCCCAGTTTGGGAGTAGGGAAAGAAGGCAAAGGAAGGCCCTCCTTCATGGCTAGGCTGGGCCTCCATGAGTTCACGTTCCAGAGCTGAAAAGGGGACAGCCCCAAGGCAAATGGCCTCAAGGGGGTGACACAGGTGCAGCCACGTTAGGCAGCCATCACCAGTCCTGAGCTGGGTGGTGGCAGGTGCCTATAGTCCCAGCTACTCTGGAGGCTGAGGCAGGAGGATTATTTGAGCTCAGGAGTTTGAGGCCAGTGTGGGCAACATAACAAGATCCTGTCACTTAAAAAGAGACCACTGGTTGTGGCCAGGAGTGCCAGGTCCCAGGGACTGTGCTATCACAGCAAACCTTCAGCAATGCTCTCCCCACATGCGGAACTCCCCGGCAAGGTATACCAGGTTCTCCAGGAGGGGAAGAGGCCCAGGTCAGCATAGGAGTTGGGGTCTGGAGCCCCTTACACGGCTGAGCTGAGTTCACTCCTGAATCAGGGATCCCACCTGGCTGGGGTCCTCCCACGGAGCTGGAAGGCTGTGGTTCCCAGCCCAGCAGCAAGACTGGACCTGATTATCCTGCACGCTCTGTAATTTGCCCCTGGAATCAGCATTAAGTCATTTGGAGGCCGATGCCAATGATAAGGGCTCCTATCAGCCTTTGGGATCTGTGGCCCAGACTCCCCGGCTCTCTTGTGAGCTTTGCTGCCTCAGCCTCTAGAATGGCTTGCCAGGGAGGGCAGGGCCTCAGCCAAGTTGCGCAGACGGTGGGGTAGCCTTAGAGCCTTGGAACCAGCGTGGAAGGGCCGCTGCGCCATGATGTGCTCCCCCTTACAGATGGAGACACTGAGACGGTGACGTGGCCCCAGGGACCTTTGGGGTCCTTGGGGTTTTCTCCTCTGCATCTGCTCCGACCCCAGCACACACAAGCTCCAGCTCCTTCTCACACGTAGTGAAACTGCACAGGTACGATGCTCCCGTGCACACAGCCAGGCACACAGCACACTGCTGTGAGGAGCTCAGAGCAGACGAGTCCAGAAAGGCTGGGGGCTTCACGCAGGTCCCAGCTGTCACTCTTCAAGAGGGTGTGGACACAGGGGTCTGCAGGAGAACCGGAAGGGTCTTTCAGAGGACATGGAGGAGGGCCTCAGGAGACTGGGGGCTTGGAGGGTGGGTTCTGAAATCCCACGCAGCTGGGGGCAGGGCGAGGGCAGCTCCAGTTCAGTAACACTGTCTCCACCCACCTGAACTTCTCTGCTTGAGTTTGGGAGTTCACTGCCAACAATTCTTGTGGCTCAGACACCCCACGCACACCTGGGCCTCACCACATCCGGCAGCAGGGCTGGGGGAGGGCAGGATGGAGGGGATACCCAGGCCCCCAGTCCTCCGGGTGCAGTGCTAGCCCTGGACTTTGCTGCCCAGCGGGGCTGGACAGGGAGGCCTAGGATGGGGGAGGCCAGTTCTGTTCTGCCTCTCTCTCTTCCCCTTGCCAAGGTCCTGAAATCCCCGCAGGCCTGGGGAGGGCTGGGAGCGTCAGCGGACTTCCCTCCAGGGCGGGCTTGTGGCAAGGGGAACTGCTTCTCTCCGGGGCCTGGGGGCTTTCCCTGCGCCCAGGAGGAGGAAGCTTTGCCCCACTCTTAACTGGAAGCCGGTCTCAGACCCCTGCTTTCCCCACGAAAGGCCCCAGGACCCCCTCATTTCCCTTCGGCCCAAGCCCAGGGGCCTGGGGCCTGGGGCCTGGGGACTGTGTTCGGGCCTAGCTTGGACACCAACCTACTGCAAGACGCTGAGTGCTGGTCTCATCCAGGCAATGGGGGGTGGGGAGGGGGAGAGGGAAAGTCCCTCTGGCCCAAGGTCTCCAAATATATGAGCAATAGGACATCTCAGCAGGGACCTCCCCATCATCCAGTCTAGAAATCACCCGTGGCAGCAGGCATTTGTCAATGTTTGCGGTGACAAATTTCTAAGAGGAAAATTCTGGGAGGGAAAGGGAAAAGGCAGAGGAAGCGTGGGGTTGGCGAGTGGGGTACTCCAAGGGACATCGCTGGCCCTAAGTGGGGGTTTGCATCTGTGAAGCTGGGTTCCCCAGGACTGAGTGGCTTGGGACAGGTCAAAGGGTGGGCACAAAGAAGGGAGGGGTGCTGGTCCCTTCGACTCCGGACAACGCCTTCCCTTCCCGTAGTCGCTGGTCCCCGCCTCCTCTCCGTGTGTTCATTCCCGCGCCCTGCCTTCCCCGCCAACCTCCCCCCGCCTCCGGAGTCCCCGGGTCAGCCCAGCCTGCGCCCCACGTGAGGGGCGGGGGCGGGCGCCAGCGCCTTCCTGCGCTGCCCTTGTATGGTGTCCCGGAGGCCGGCCCAGGGGTATTTAACCCGGACCGCCGCGGAGGGCGCTCGGAGTCGACTGCTCGGGCAGCCCCACCGCCACTAGAGCCCGGGACGCGGTAACGAGCGAAAGGAAGAAGAGGCACCGGCGGCCATGGGGCTGGAGGCGGCGCGCGAGCTGGAGTGCGCGGCGCTGGGCACGCTGCTGCGGGAGCCGCGGGAGGCGGAACGCACGCTGCTGCTGGACTGCCGGCCCTTCCTGGCCTTCTGCCGCCGCCACGTGCGCGCCGCGCGCCCGGTACCTTGGAACGCGCTGCTCCGGCGCCGTGCGCGGGGCCCCCCTGCCGCGGTTCTCGCCTGCCTGTTACCCGACCGCGCGCTGCGGACGCGCCTGGGCCGCGGGGAGCTGGCGCGGGCCGTGGTGCTGGACGAGCGCAGTGCCTCGGTGGCGGAGCTCCGGCCCGACGGCCCGGCCCACGTGCTGCTGGCCGCGCTGCTGCACGAGACCCGCGCGGGGCCCACCGCCGTGTTCTTCCTGCGAGGTAAGCCGCCGGCTGCCCTTGGCCCGCCCCACCCGACTCCAGCCCGGCTTTCCCTGCTGACCGTGCCCTTCCCCTCCTTGCAGGAGGCTTCGACGGCTTCCAGGGCTGCTGTCCCGATCTGTGCTCTGAGGCCCCCGCCCCTGCGCTGCCGCCGCCGGCAGGGAGCAAAACCAGCTGCTCCGACCCGAGGGCTCCCATCTACGACCAGGTGAGTCCTGCCCCCCACCCCCGACCCTCACTCCCTCCCCACCGCAGACCGGGCGCCTCTGGAGAAAGGGCCTGCCTTTTGGGGATGCGAGCAGTTTGCCCATGTACACACCTGTACACGTGTGTGTGTAGGGGGGGTGGGGCACGGCTGCTCGCACGTGTCTGTGTGGGTCTGTGTACGTTTGCATGTGTATGTTGGGAGTGTGAGGGGGCACGTGTGTCCCGGTGTGTCCCCCGCACATTCCTGAGTCCTGTCTCAGGTCAGGAGGACTGGCTGAGGACTCCTCTTGTCTCGGCCAGCCCATGGGGTCTCCACCAGCTCCAGCCCTCCAGGGCTGGGCTGGGAAGGCCTCACCGCCCGTCTACCCCCTCCAGGGTGGCCCTGTGGAGATCTTGCCCTACCTGTTCCTGGGCAGCTGCAGCCATTCGTCAGACCTGCAGGGGCTGCAGGCGTGTGGCATCACAGCCGTCCTCAACGTGTCTGCCAGCTGCCCCAACCACTTTGAGGGCCTTTTCCGCTACAAGAGTATCCCTGTGGAGGACAACCAGATGGTGGAGATCAGCGCCTGGTTCCAGGAGGCCATAGGCTTCATTGGTAAGGGGGCGCCTCTGCCCAGAGGTCCTGAGGGGCTCCAGAGGAGAGGGCTGGGGGCACCTGTCTCCTGGGCTGTGCACATGCCGTCTGACAGCACTCCCCTGTCTCCCTTGCAGACTGGGTGAAGAACAGCGGAGGCCGGGTGCTGGTGCACTGCCAGGCCGGCATCTCGCGCTCGGCCACCATCTGCCTGGCCTACCTCATGCAGAGTCGCCGTGTGCGGCTGGACGAGGCCTTTGACTTCGTTAAGCAGCGTCGGGGGGTCATCTCCCCCAACTTCAGTTTCATGGGGCAGCTGCTGCAGTTTGAGACCCAGGTGCTGTGTCACTGAGGTGGTGCCCCTCTGCCTGCCCCCGCAACTGTGCTGGCAGGAGCTGACTGTGGACGGGTGGGCTCCTCTCTGGGCCGGCACAGTCCCCTCACCTCTGGGAGGGCTGCTACCTCCTCACAGTTTGAGAAGCCCCCACACGGGGGCTCTAGCAATGCCGGCATGCTGGCCTTTCCGACCTGGTGCTCTTCTGCCGGGGGACTGAGGCTGGCCCTCATTCGGGGTGGGGAACCGAGGGTGTGTCTGCTCTTTCCCATCCCATCCTCTGGCAGAAATCAACTGGACTCTATACCGTGGACTCTCCCTGGTCCACCATCATGTTGAAGCCCTTGGCAGCCTGAGAGCTCCAAGGAACAAGCTGTGACAACCAGGAGCCCTGTCCGTGGGTTGGTTCGCCCAGGGCCTGGAGTCCAAGCCCTGTGTTCCTGGGGAAGCTGGGGACTTAGGAAATGATGGGTGTGTCGTGCTGTGTGTGTCAGTCTGTGAGCCTTTCACGCCTGTGCTGGCGCTGGAAAGTTATTTGTGCTCAGCTGACATTTAACACTCCCTCCCCCGCTTCCTCCTAGCCCTGTGGGCAGGGATTGGAAACTTAGCACTTTATATTTATACAGATCATTCAGGATGTGTCAATAAAATATTGTTTTGTTTTAAAAACAACAACCCAGTGTCTGGTCTCATCTGATGCCTGGGAGCCTGCTTGGACCTCACATTTCCTTGTGCCCTCAGGGTTTCGGAAGGGAACAGGCAGAGGGGCCGGTGGCCGGAAGGGGCAGGTCTGACCCTCCTTGCACAGGCTGCTCTCTTGCCCTCAGTTCTCCCTGCGCTGGTGTCTTTTCCCAGACAGGGACCTCGCTCCAGAGCTGAACAGGGTTGTTTCTGGGAGGCTGGGGTCCCGTCTGTGATTCAGAGCCAGGCCCAGGCCTGCCCCGATCAGACCCCGCTTCCTTTTCGGAACGTGGAAGGATGTGTGTGAGTGTGTGCTTGAGGGTGTGGTCCTGTGGGGGTGGGTGGTCTTGGCCTGTGCGCCCGTGCATGTTGTACGTGGCGTTCCTGTAGGAGCGTGTGTGCACGCCCACGCGAGAGGCCCAGGCCCTGTGGGTCTCTGCTTCCTCACGGCAGGCCCGCATGTCCTCCCTACTCTTCTATATCCCAGGGCTGGGGCTCATGGTGCCCCCAGTTCCAGAGCTCCTTCATGTCCCCCAAAGGCATGTAGCCCCATGTCTGGTGCAGAGGACCTCTCACCAGGGATGGGATTCATTGTTCTGCACACCCACCCAACTAGCACATCTTGGTCGAACTTCCAGTTACGGGCCCAGCATAGAACTAAGGTTCAGTGGAGACCTGAGACAAGGGCCGTGCCCATGCCAGAAGCCTAGGGGTACCTGTCGAGGCTGCCGGAAGGGGGTGCTGTGATCTGCCTGTGAGCAGGGCTGCTGAGGCCTTTGGGGATGGTTGTGTGGGAGCCAGTCCTACTTCAGGCTCACTGGGACATTCGGCCATTGGGAGTGTCATCCAGCCAAGGGTTGCCTCTGCACCAACTGTCTGTGGTCTGTTAGGAACTGGGCTGCACAGCAGGAGGTGAGCAGCTTCATCAGTATCACAGCCGCTCCCCACATACCCCATTGCTAGCATTACTGCCTGAGCTCCGCCTCCTATCAGATCAGTGGCAGCATTAGATTCTCCTAGGAGCTCGAACCCTGTTGTGAACTGCATTGGAGGGATATTGGATGTATGCTCCTTATAAAACTCTAACTAATGCCTGATGATCTGTCAACTGTCTCCCATCACTCCCAGATGTTTTCTTCAGTTGCAAGAAAACAAGCTCTGGGCTCCCACTGATTCTACATTATGGTGAGTTGTATAATTATTTCATGATAGATTACAGTGTAATAGTAGAAATAAAGTGCACAATAAGTGTAATGCACTTGAATCACCTAGAAACCATCCCTGTCACCATCCTGGGCCAGGCGCGGTGGCTCATGCCTGTAATCCCAGCACTTCGGGAGGCCGAGATGGGTGGATCACCTGAGGTCAGGAGTTCGAGACCAGCCTGGCCAACATGGCAAAACCCCATCTCTACTAAAAATACAAAAATTAGCAAGGCTTGGTGGCGGGCGCCTGTAATCCCAGCTACTCAGGAGTCTGAGGCAGGAGAACTGCTTGAACCTGGGAGGCGGAGGTTGCAGTGAGCCTAGATCGCACCATTGCACCCCAGCCTGGGCGCCAAGAGTGAAACTCCATCTTGCACAGAGGAACAAACAAAAACTATTCCCTGGTGCCACAAAGGTTGGGAACTGCTGTCTTACGGCATTCTGAATGCCTGGGAGGGTGTACTTGTGGGGCAGGGGGCCGCAGAGTTTGACAGTGTGGGGGCTGGTTTCGCTTAACCTTGCTGTATACAGTTTTCTTGTCTATAAAATGGAGTTTCATTGTTAGCACCCACCTCTCAGGATGTAGACTTACACAAGTCAATCCATATAGTGCCCGCCCATAGTAGGCACTCAGAAAATGTTAGGTAACTACGGCCCTAGGAGGGAGGTTGATCTGAAGTTTCAGTGTGCAGGTACGAGGTGTGCATCTGGACCAGGAGGAACACTCAACACGGCTGGGCATGGGGTCCGCTTAGCCTTGTTCCCGGAGCCCGGCACAGGTGGGCGCTTGCTCTGTGGGGCCGAATGAAGGGTGATCCTTGTTCCCTCTGCTGTCTGAGGGGTGGGGTGAGCCACTCCAGTGTGAACTGGGCAGAGCCGGGGTTGCTATTCTGCCTTCATTAGGACCTGAGTGGGCATCTGTTGGGACCCACTTGTACCCCCATGCCCAGCTTGGGTGGGCGGGGGACATCTGGGGCTCTAAGTCATAGGGGACTTCATACCACACAGCCTCATCTCACACGCAGCTGCAATGCTGGCTGAGGCCTCTGCCCACCCCACCCTCGGCCCTACCTCATCCCACCCTACCCAGCCCCACTCCCCTCTCCTCCCTTCCCTGTGCTTTTTATAGCTTGTCATCTAGCAAACTGCCCTTCTCTTTCTCTCTCCTTCCCTCCTTTCCTTCTTTCCTATTAAGTTTTTAAACTTCTAATTGTGGTAAAGAACACAACATAAAATTGATCATCTTTACCATTATCAAGTGTATTCACATCGTTGTGTAACAGATATCCAGAGCTTTTTTATCTTCCAAACCTGAAACGCTATACCTATTAAATGATAACTCCCCCTCCCCAGTCCCCAGCCCCTGGTAAGCTCTGTTCCACTTTCTGTCTCTGTGCATTGGGCTACTCTAGATACCTCTTGGAGGTAGAATCATGCAGGATTTGTCTTTTTGTGACTGGCTTGTTTCACTCAGCAAAATACCCTCAGATCAACTGCATGTCCTCATAAAGACTCTGTTTCTCTCCCCAAGCAGGGTGATTATTTCTTATCATTATTTTAATTTTGTTTTTTATGGGGGGATGGAGTCTCACTCTGTTGCCCAGGCTGGAGTGAAGTGGCACAATCTCGGCTCACTACAACCTCCGCCTCCCGGGTTCAAGGGATTTCCGACTCATTTTTGTATTTTTAGTAGAGATGGGGTTTCACCGTGTTGGCCAGGCTGGTCTCAGACTCCTGACCTCAAGTGATCTGCCTGCCTCGGCCTCTCAAAATGCTGGGATTACAGGCATGAGCCACCGCACCTGGCCTACTTTAATTTTTTTACTGAACACTCATCTTTTTTTTTGAGATGGAGTCTCACTCTGTCCCCCAGGCTAGAGTGCAGTGGTGCAATTTCGGCTCACTGCAAACTCCGCCTCTGGGTTCAAGCGATTCACCTGCCTCAGCTTCCGGAGTAGCTGGGATTACAGGCGCCCACCACCTTGCCCAGCTAATTTTTGTATTTTTTTTAGTAGAGATGGGGTTTCACCATGTTGGCCAGACTGGTCTTGAATTCCTGACCTCGTGATCCACCTGCCTCGGCCTCCCAAAGTGCTGGGATTATAGGCATGAGCCACCGCGCCTGCCTGAACACTCATCTTTTTTTTTTTTTTTTTTTTTTTATTATACTTTAAGTTCTAGGGTACATGTACATAGCGTGCAGGTTTGTTACATATGTATACTTGTGCCATGTTGGTGTGCTGCACCCATCAACTCGTCAGCACCCATCAATTCGTCATTTACATCAGGTATAACTCCCAGTGCAATCCCTCCCCCTTCCCCCCTCCCCATGATAGGCCCCTGTGTGTGATGTTCCCCTTCCCGAGTCCAAGTGATCTCATTGTTCAGTTCCACCTATGAGTGAGAACATGCGGTGCTTAGTTTTCTGTTCTTGTGATAGTTTGCTAAGAATGATGGTTTCCAGCTGCATCCATGTCCCTACGAAGGACACAAACTCATCCTTTTTATGGCTGCATAGTATTCCATGGTGTATATGTACACATTTTCTTCATCAGTCTGTCACTGATGGACATTTGGGTTGATTCCAAGTCTTTGCTGTTGTGAATAGTGCCGCAATAAACATACGTGTGCATGTGTCTTTATAATAGCATGATTTATAATCCTTTGGGTATATACCCAGTAATGGGATGGCTGGGTCATATGGTACATCTAGTTCTAGATCCTTGAGGAATCGCCATACTGTTTTTCCATAATGGTTGAACTATTTTACAATCCCACCAACAGTGTAAAAGTGTTCCTATTTCTCCACATCCTCTCCAGCACCTGTTGTTCCTGACTTTTTAATGATTGCCATTCTAACTGGTGTGAGATGGTATCTCATTGTGGTTTTGATTTGCATTTCTCTGGTGGCCAGCGTGATGAGCATTTTCATGTGTCTGTAGGCTGTATGAATGTCTTCTTTTGAGAAATGTCTGTTCATATCCTTTGCCCACTTTTTGATGGGGTTGTTTGTTTTCTTGTAAATTTGTTTGAGTTCTTTGTAGGTTCTGGATATTAGCCCTTTGTCAGATGAGTAGATTGCAAAAATTTTTCTCCCATTCTGTAGGTTGCCTGTTCACTCTGATGGTAGTTTCTTTGCTGTGCAGAAGCTCTTTAGTTTAATGAGATCCCATTTGTCAATTTTGGCTTTTGCTGCCGTTGCTTTTGGTGTTTTAGACATGGAAGTCTTTGCCCATGCCTATGTCCTGAATGGTACTACCTAGGTTTTCCTCTAGGAGTTTTATGGTATTAGGTCTAACATTTAAGTCTCGAATCCATCTTGAATTAATTTTCGTATAAGGAGTAAGGAAAGGATCAGTTTCAGCTTTCTACTTATGGCTAGCCAATTTTCCCAGCACCATTTATTAAATAGGAATCCTTTCCCCATTTCTTGTTTCTCTCAGGTTTGTCAAGATCAGATGGCTGTAGATGTGTGGTATTATTTCTGAGGACTCTATTCTGAAACCATTGGTCTATATCTCTGTTTTGGTACCAGTACCATGCTGTTTTAGTTACTGTAGCCTTGTAGTATAGTTTGAAGTCAGGTAGCGTGATGCCTCCAACTTTGTTCTTCTGACTTAGGATTGTCTTGGAGATCTCGGGCTCTTTTTGGTTCCATATGAACTTTACAAAAGCAGTTTTTCCAATTCTGTGAAGAAACTCAATTTGGTAGCTTGATGGGATGGCATTGATGTAATAACCTTGGGCAGTGTAGCCCATTTCACGATATTGATTCTCTATCCACAGGCATGGTATGTTCCCTATCCATGAGCATGGTATGTTCTTCCATTTGTTTGTGTCCTCTTGAACACTCATCTTAAGTGGTCAACCTCATGCATTTGTTTTTTGATGGGTCCTATTCTTTATTTTACTTATTTTTTCTAGCTTTACTGAGGCATAATTGACAAATAAAAGTAGTATATGTTTAAGTGTACGTGATATTTTCACATATGCATACCTTGTGAAATGATGACCACAACAAGCTAAGTAGCACATCCATGGTGTGTATCCTGACGTCTGTCAATACCTTGCCCTGGTAGCAGGGCGTCTGCTTCCATCACCGTCTCCCTGTGATTCTGATTCCTGACTTTGGAGAAGCTCTGGATTCCAGGCAGAGCAGGAATGCCGAAAGGTGCTTGTGGACAATAGCTCGTCTTCTTGGCTCTGTCGCTTCCCTTCATGGGCGCAGGTGACTGTGGGGGTGTCCCCAAAGGCTGCCCAGTACTGACAAGCCCCGCCTCCGGAATTTCAGTCCAGGTGGGGCCCTGAGTGACCTGGCTCTGGGGCTCAGGGGTGTGGAGGAGGGGGCATATAGGTAAGGAGTTTACATTTCCAAATCTGCGAAATGGGAATAAACACTGACTGATGATGCCAGCGGCTGTGGGATTAGGGGGTGGACTCCCTGCGAGGCTCTGGGCATCTGGGGGTTCCACCTTTCCCACATGGCAGGCTTTCTGGGGTTCTGGTTGCACACTGTTCAGTTTGTGAGATTTCCTGGAGCCCTGTGCTTGTGATAGTGAACTTTTCTACATGTGCTAAAATAAAAGCTTGTGGAAGTGCAGTGACCTTTACCTCCTTCCAGAGATACACCGGGGGTGCCCCAGGGTCTCAGGCAGCTTTCCTCGTGTCTCAGCACAGGCCGGGGCAGGAAAGGGGGTCTCCCTCGCTGCAGGATAGGTCTACACCGGGGCTGGGGCCTCCGCTGGGCCTGGAGCGACTTTCTGCGATGTCTCTCTGCCCCCTGGTGGCGGGAAGGCACCTCAGCAGAGCCACACTCCAAGCGGGTCCCGCCTGTCTTTCACACACTGCAGCCGGGAAGGGGACTGCGCTGGGGTGGGAACCACAGGTAGGCACTGGAGGGGCTGCCAGTAGAGCTGGTTGGGGCGGGGCTGACCGCAGCCGGGAAGGGGACTGCGCTGGGTGGAACCAAGCAGGTAGGTACCGGAGGGGCTGCCAGTAGAGCTGGTTGGGGCGGGGGCTGTAGGAAGGGAGCTGGTTGGGGGGCGGCTGCAGGTGGAGGGGCTGGGGCGGGGCTGCAGGTGGAGCTGGTTGGGGCGGCTGCAGGTGGAGCTTCTGCTGGGGCGGGGCTGCAGGTGAGCTGTCAGGCGGGGCTGTAGGTGGAGCTGGTTGGGGCGGGGCTGCAGGTGGAGCTGGTTGGGGGTGGGCTGCAGGTGGAGCTGGCTGGGGCGGCTGTAGGTGGAGCTGGTTGGGGCGGGGCCAGCAGGTGGAGCTGGCTAATGGACCGCAGGTGTAGGTGGTTGGGGCGGGGCTGCAGGTGGAGGTGGTTGGGGCGGGGCTGCAGGTGGAGTTTGCTGGGGCGGGGGCTGCAGGTGGAGGTGGTTGGGGCGGGGCTGTAGGTGGAGGTGTGGTTGGGGCGGCTGCAGGTGGGAGCTGGTTGGGGGCGGGGCCGCAGGTGGAACTGGTTGGGGCGGGGCTGCTGTAGGTGGAGCTGGTTGGCTGTAGGTGGGAGCTGGTTGGGGCGGGGCTGTAGGTGGAGCTGGTTGGGGTGGGGCTGCAGGTGGAGCTGGTTGGGGGAGAGGCTGGTAGGTGGAGCTGGTTGGGGCGGATGCCAGCAGACCTGGTTGGGGCGGGGCTGTAGGTGGAGCTGGGTTGGGCGGCTACAGGTGGAGTTGTTGGGCGGGGCTGCAGGTGGAGCTGGTTGGGGGGCTGCAGGGTGGAGCTGGCTGGGACGCTGCAGGTGGAGCTGGTTGGGGCGGGGCTGCAGGTGGAGCTGGTTGGTGGGAGTAAGGTGGGAGCTGGAGCAGCTGCTATTTAAGAGGTGGTGGTGGTAGTGCTGGTTCTGTAGTTAGGCTACTCCGTCCTGCTGGGGCTTAGTCTCGTTTGCTGAAGGGGCAGTAGAACTCTACCATGGAGGGTGTAGGGGGTCTCTGGCCTTGGGTGCTGGGTCTGCTCTCCTTGCCAGGTAAGCTGGCTGCCTGTCCCTCCTGCTGCTGGCTCCAGCCTGGAGAAAGCTGGGGAGAGGCCAGAAGGTTGTGGCTGGAACCTGCAGGGATTGTAGCTGAGCTCAGTAGCTCAGAGCACAGAGCTTTCCAGGGTTGTAGCTGAGCTCAGTGGCTCAGAGCACAGAGCTTTCCAGGGTTGTTCTAGAAGTCAGCTCCTGGGGGCCAAGGGGAGGCCTCCTGAAGGTCCTGGAAGCAGAGGGCCTGCCTGGCAGAAGATGGCAGGTGTTGTGCCCCAGGCGTACTTGTCTTGGGGTGGGGGTAGGCTGTAAGTCCGCACTCCAGGCTGAGCCCATTGTCCAAGAGCCTGGGCTGAGAAAGAGTCATAGAGAAAGGTCTGAGCTGGCCCTGCCCTTGCCACGGGCGTCAGAACCTGAGGTCTGTCCTGCCTCCTTCCTTCCTATTCCTCCTTTACCTCATAGGTGGGGCACGTGCCCTTTTGGTCCCCCTAGGGGAGCTCCTTCCGAGGTCCTCTAGACTTTGGCGCTAGTTGGGGTTGAGCAGGGAGGCTAGAAAGGCTCTTTGGCTTTGTGCTGGAGCCTACTCTTCCTAGGGACTGAGTCTTACAACCTGATCCCCCACACTCACCCCATGTCCTGCTGTCCGGTCTCACTGGTGGGTGCTCCAGGCATTTGTGTATGCCCCTGTCTGTCTGGACCAGGTATGATCCTAGGAGCGCCCCTGGCCTCCAGCTGCTCAGGAGACTGTGGCACCAGCTTCCCAGATGGCCTCACCCCTGAGGGAACCCAGGCCTCCTGGGACAAGGACATTCCTGCAATTAACCAAGGTGAGGGCATCTTCTCAGGGCCTGGAGGGGCATGACATTATGTAGTGGGAAAACCACACTGAACACTCAGAAATGCAGAGCCTGGGAGGAAATGGACCAGCTTATTTAGGCTGTAAGTGTCTTTTTTTCTTGTTTTTTTTTTTTTTTTTTGAGAGAGTTTTTCTCTCTCGCCCCCAGATGGCGGGAATTCTGAATCTTGGTTCACTGCAAGCTCTGCCTCCCGGGTTCACGCCATTTTCCGGCCTCAGCCTCCCGAGTAGCTGGGACTACAGGCGCCCACCACCGTGCCTGGCTAAATTTTTGTATTTTTGTATTTTTATTTTTTTTAAGTGGAGATGGGGTTTCACCGTGTTAGCCAGGATAGTCTCGATCTCCTGACGTCGTGATCTGTCCGCCTCGGCCTCCCAAAGTTCTCGGATTACAGGCTTGAGCCACCGCACCCGGCCGTGGTTTTTAAGAGATGTAGTAGTATCGCTATGTTGCCCAGGCTGGTCTTGAACTCCTGGTCTTAAGTGATCCTCCTGCCTCTGCCTCCCGAGCAGCTGGGACTACAGGTGTGAACGGGTGGAAATTCTATGGGCAATTGCTTAAGTCTACTTTTTCTTTTTGTATCTTTCCTAGTGGATTGTCACTTTTATAAGAAAAACTAAGTTCTTAAATGGCCTGATAAAAGTATAGATCATTGGCTCTCTGAGCCTGGGTGTGGAGCCAAGCAGTGAGTTGATGTTTGAGAACGTCAGCCACCCCGTGCAGGACTGTCTGCAGGTGTGATTAAGAAGTCTGACGCTCAGTGTCTTGCTGTCTGGGGATGTCACCTGAGGAATGCGGGTGTATAAATAGCCTGAACAAAGCCAGTCGAGATGGAGATTGGAGTTCAGATGTTGGAGCAATGAGGGCTGAAGCACCGGGGAGCAGCGGCCAGTGTTGCTCTAAGGGTGGGTGAGATCCTACCAGATGTGGTAGCCACTGTGTGATCTGCCCCCTTCTTCCTCCCAGAGCTGACTTAGGGACCCAGCGCCAACTGAGCCTTGAGCCCCAGGCACCGCCCCACCCCTGGCTCACCGTGAGTGATCTGGAGGTAACCAGAACCAATAGAGAAAACTCCCAAATGCTGGTGACCCCAACAACTATCACCTACAGTGAGGCTATCTCAGAATGGCTGTCCGTGCCTCACCTGATGCTTTCCTGAGAAGCACCTGCCGCTGTGAATATGGCTAATGCCGTACAGCTGTATCTGCCTCCCAAGACGCCCCCAGCCAAAAGGAGTTGCCTCAGCCAGAGGTGCCTGGGGGCTACTCCCTCGCCTGCCCGAGGTGGCCCACCGTGACTCCTAAGGGACAGGAGTCTGGCCCCTGCCTCAAGGCTGTGCAAGTCAGAGGTGCCATTTGTGGTCCGAAGCGCCCATGGGATCCAGCTGAGGCTGCGCCTGGATTCTTCCCTGCCTTCTCTCCTGCTTTCCTCACTCCCTCCATGAGTCACTTGTGGGAGAGACGAGAAGCAGAGGGGCTAAGAGGGGTGAGGGGTTGGTGAGAGCTGGTACTTGCCTACCTTTGATGGTGGAACAAATTTGAATTTGCCACCTCAAGGGGCCTGAGTATAACAGATGGGTGAGGAATAGTGAGGGATGAGGTGGGTGGGAGAGCCCAGGGCCTGTTCTGAGGACTGCGGCTCAGGCTGGAAGAGGCCGCTGCTTCCTGGCCGCAGGGACCCGGGCTTGGGACTGGATAGGTCGTGGGCTGTGTTTGAGCAGGGGAAGGATGCGGTCCAGCCAAGAAGCCTCGCACACTCAGGGACTGTGCGACTTTCCCTCAGTGCTCAGGGAACCTCTAACTCCACAGTCGGGCAGGGATAGACCCCGAGCCTCAGACTCCTTTGTCTTTGTCCCCCAGCCCCTCACGCCTGCAGACAGTCCTGCCAGGGTGGCTGATATTCTCAAACATCAACTAATGACTTAGCTAAACACCCAGGCTCGGAGAGCCAGTGCCCTGTACTTTTATCAGGCCATTTAAGAAGTTATAATAACAATCCGCTAAGAAAGACACAAGAATAGACTTAAGGAGGGACTTGCTTGGCCTGTCCCTCGAGTCAGTGTGCTGGGGGACATGGGCCAACACGTCCTTCCCTCCCTTCCCAGGGCTCATCCCGGAAGAAACCCCAGAAAGCAGCTTCCTCATCGAGGGGGACATCGTCCGGCCGGTGAGTGCAGTCTGACGTGTGTGGGTGCGGATCAGCCCACAGCTGGTGACAGGCCCTCGGAGCCCACCCTGGGTGACGTGGGGCCTGATGTGGGAGGGACATACATAGCTTGGTAGCTGCCTCTCTTTGTCAAGGTCAGAGCGACTCTTCTGTTAGGAAGTACGAATAAGCCAGCCTGAATGCTAAGGGAGGCTGGTATCTGAAGTGCTGACACAGTCGGCCTGAGAGGGCTTCCTGAAGGAGGAGGTTTGAACACTTGACACAGCTTGGTACCCTGCCCAGGGGAGGTGTCAGATAAAGGAAGAGATGAGCAGGGGTTGGCAGAGTGGCCTGTGGGGGATAAAGGGCCTGGTGGCAGTGGCGACCTGGGGATGGTGGAACAACGAGTGGTAGGGAGCTTGACCATCTTGGCTGTGGTCGAGTGGCTGCACCTGAAGGGAGGAGGCTGCTGGGGATTGGGGGTGCCTTGCTAGCAGAAAAGGGAACACTGTGCCCAGGACAGCAGCGCTGTGTTTTAGGCGACTGGGAATGGCAGAAGGCTCCTGAACAGGACAATGACCCAGGGGAAGGCAAGACTGTCTTGCTGGAGGCCGCCACTGATAGCACAGCCTCTGGCTGGGCAGCAGAGCCAGAGGCTGGCCCAAGGCTCCCAGGGGACCCCGGGGGCAGGGCAGATCCCTCCGGGTTATCCAGTGAGTGCTCGGGGAGGTGGCAGGTGACCACCAGGAGCAGCATCAAATGCCTCCAACTGATGGCGCAGGCACACGGGGTGCTGTGGAGCCTGGGCTCTGAAGGGCTCTGGTTGCTGGAGAGGGGAAGAGCGGCCGAGGCCAGGGTGCTGCCTCGCTTTCACTCCAGATAGGCTCTGTCCCCATGACCATCCCACGTTCAGGGAAGCCTGGTGGCTGTTTGCCTCTGGGAGGGGCACTGCCCACATGCTGGGGTGGGGCTGCCGGCCCAAGCCCTTCTGATCCAGGGCACCCTGGGGTGCTGGGCCTCCTAGCCAACATCCTCAGACACTAATCTCCTTGCTTGAGACTGAAATTCTTTCGTCATAGGCCAAGGGACTGTCTTGTGCATCAAGGTTCATGTAGCTGGCCCCTTGCCTTCCACGCCTCTGTCCTGTCCCTAATGGTCCCCCATTCCCATGCACGTAGGTCCTGACTCCCACATTTTTGGGGTTCCGATGCCCCGGGGTGTGGTACCCTTGGGGCATAGAGCTTGGGTGGCCTCTGTCCCCAGCGGTTGAACTGCTGCTCTCTCCTCAGAGTCCCTTCCGACTGCTGTCAGCAACCAGCAGCAAGTGGCCCACGGGTGGTGGCGGAGTCGTGGAGGTCCCCTTCCTGCTCTCCAGCAAGTACGGTGAGTGAGCGCGGCAGGCTCCCTCCCTTCCTCAGCCCCTTCTTCCAAATGCGGCAGAGGTGCTCCTCTCTTCCTTTCTCCTCTTACACCACCACCTCCCCTCCACCTCCCCACCCCAAGAACCCATCCACAGAAGCCCTTCTGTTGCTGAAGGTCTCCTGAGTCGGGAGGGTTAAAATCCTGGGAGAGCTGATGGGAAGGTGTGTCTAGGGGGATCTGGTTCCCCTTGAGACCATGCAGTGTGGAGGTGGTTCCCCTTGAGACCATGCAGTGACTTACCGAAGGCCACACAGCCAAGGTCTGTCTTGGGGCAGCTTTGTGCCCCAAGCGTACCACACCCCGGGGCACCAGAACCGCAAAGATGTGGGAATCAGGACCTGTGTGCATGGGAATTGGGGGACCATTAGAGACGCACCAGTAGGTTGCCCTTTCTTGATGCTATTTTGGGAGAGAGTTCAGAGCTCTGCTCCCAGACCCCCATGTAGAGCTCAGAGACCACCAGGGCTCGGGGGGCTCAGCCGGGTGGTGTCTTTCAGATGAGCCCAGCCGCCAGGTCATCCTGGAGGCTCTCTCGGAGTTTGAACGTTCCACGTGCGTCAGGTTTGTCGCCTACCAGGGCCAGAGAGACTTCATTTCCATCATCCCCATGTATGGGTAAGTGCTGGGCGTTCAGCCCGGAATCAACTAGTCTATTGTCTAAAATTTATTTCTGGGCCCATCCCCCAGGGCTCTGTCCCCCTGCCCACCCTGAGGGGTCTGCCCAATGTGAGCTGGACCTCCAGGGCGGAAGGTGGAAAAGGGATGGGAATGGTGCTAGACCCTCATTTACAAAGCCCTCCTCTCCCGGGGGACTCCACGGGGGGGTGAGGGGAGGTTTTGTGGGGCAGACAGTGCATGAGTCATTGAGTCCTGGCAAGTTCCCTAACTTCTGAGCCTCTTCTGCACCCTCTGGGGCGGGAGTGGTGGCGATACCTGCTTCCTAGCTTGTCAGGGGCCTGAGGCAATGTGCGTGAAAGCCTCGGGTCAGGGCTGACCAGGAGGGTGTGTTCACTTAGTGAGCTGCTTCTGTCTTCTGCGTTCATATCAGTTCCTGCTGCCTCCCTGCGGCCCAGGCTGGTGATGGGGGTCTGGTATGCCCATTTCACAGAAGTCCAGGCAGTAAAGGGGCTTGGAGAACGGTGAACCTGAGACTAGCACCCAGAGTGGGGCCCTGCCTGTTGGGTGTTTATCTTGTGGTGTGGGGGGAGGGAGCGCCCAGGTCTGTGTGTCTGGGGGGATCTGGGCTGGCGCTCACCCTGCTTGCTCTCATCGCCCTGCAGGTGCTTCTCGAGTGTGGGGCGCAGTGGAGGGATGCAGGTGGTCTCCCTGGCACCCACCTGTCTCCAGAAGGGCCGGGGCATCGTCCTTCATGAGCTCATGCACGTTCTGGGCTTCTGGCACGAGCACGCGCGGGCCGATCGGGACCGCTATATCCGTGTCAACTGGAACGAGATCCTCCCAGGTAAGCCACACGCAGGTCAGGCTGGTGCCGGGGAGGGGACAGCAGGGCTTGGGCCCAAGTTGCCTGGTTCCCATGGATGAGGCTGTCCATCCTCCCCACCACCTGCCTGCTTCCTGTGGGGAAGGTGGGGGTCTCGCTTCTCTGGGACCTGGAGGTGGTCCAGCTGCTGCTCTGGACCCCAGGCCTTCCTCCGCCCACCTGCAGTTGTGCCTGAGTGAGGGTGCCACCACCTGCTCTGTCTCGCTTTTCATCCCTGACACTGTCCTCGCCCTGGGGATGGGGTAGGCAGTACCCATGATGCCTGCTTGTTGAGTACTCTAGCAGCGGTCTTATGTACTAGGCACCACCAGCATGGGCTGGGGCTGTGTGCCAGCTTGGGGAGCTGAGCCAAAGCGGAACCCCAAGGTAGCAGGCTGTACAAGCCACGTGCTGGGTCACGGGCTGAGGGCAGCGCTGTGGGACTGGGACATGTGCCAGTGAGCAGGTAGAAGAAACGCAGACTGTGGCCGTGGGAGAGTGGAGGCTGGAGGCAGGTGGGCTGTGGTTCCTGTGGTGGCAGCAGCAGCTGGGTGGTGCCGGGGATCAGATCCTGGTGACGGTGGGGTTTCTCCGTTGAGGAGGCAGGAAGACCCCCCCCGCCGAGGGAGGGGCAGAGGAGGTGTGGGTGGGAATCTGGCTTAGAGGGTGGAGTGGGAAGAAGGCCTCCCGCAGGTGGAGGGCGTCCAGCACAAGACCTTTCACTGCTGTCATGTTAGCCAGGTGAGGTAGCCAGAGAAGCTGCCTGGGCCCAGGGACCTTCCCCAGCCCCAAACACCGCTTCCTCAGTGGCTCCTAGCAAACACAAGTCACAGAGAAAGGGATGTCTGGGGCACGTGGGTAGCACCTCACAAAGGGAGGGGGGATGGACATTGAATCAGACCAGGCTGAGGAGGTAGTGAGGAGGGGTGACAAGTGACTCTGTATCCTGAAAACAGACTGATCCTTCCCCATGCTCGTGGAACAGTTGTGAAAATTTACCCTGATAATTTCATGATACATCATGAAATGCCATGAAAACCTGCAACTCTGAAAGTAATATAAACATTCTGATCATGAGATAAAGTAGAAACCAATACACCAAAACCAAAAGCTTCTCCTGTTTAGAAATTGAAAGAAAACAACAAAACTTTCTTTTAGCTCTAGAGTTAAAGTACAGCAATTCTAAAAAATCATGAAAGACTTGACAAAACCCAGTGGTTCACAGCTAATGCAATGCTCAGAGAAAATGTGTAGACTTACATATCAGTAAACAGAACAAATTGAGCATGTCAACCCAAATTAAATGAAAGCAGGAGGAAATTAAAAAAAGGGTAAAAGCAGAAACTGAGTTGGAAAACACCACTAATTATTCCTAATGATAAAACAGGTTAACACAGCACTTCCCCAGTGGAAAAAATGAGAACTTGTTTGTTTTCATTTAGGTTAATATGTTCTCATTAGGTTAATATGTACAGAAACTCTGCCAGGGCAGACACATTAATAGCAGTAATTAACTGTTGTGGGGTGGGGAGGTGGGAACGCGGGAAGCGGGGGATGGAATCGGAGACTTTTACTACATCTCAATAGTTGACTTTTGAACCAAATGAATATACTACTTATTCAAAATGTTTAATGAGTTTTTAATTTTTTATTTTTTATTTTTTTTGAGACGGAGTCTCGCTCTGTCGCCCAGGCTGGAGTGCTGTGGCCGGATCTCAGCTCACTGCAAGCTCCGCCTCCTGGGTTTTACGCTATTCTCCTGCCTCAGCCTCCCGAGTAGCTAGGACTACAGGCGACCGCCACCTCGTCCGGCTAATTTTTTGTATTTTTTAGTAGAGACGGGGTTTCACCGTGTTAGCCAGGATGGTCTCGATCTCCTGACCTCGTGATCCACCCGTCTCGGCCTCCCAAAGTGCTGGGATTACAGGCTTGAGCCACCGCGCCCGGCCTTAATGAGTTTTTAAAAGGAAGAAAAAGAGCTTGAGGGGCAGCTGTTAGGCAGGTGGTGGGGTATGAAGGTGCTGGTCTGCTCCGTGGAGAGGAGCAGACCGAGGTGGGGTGTATGGGCGGCTGGCTGGGTTTGAGGGAATTGTGGGGGCAAAGATAGAGGGGCTGCCTCTGAAGGCAGGAAGGAACCTTGCCCCTCCCAGGCCTGGGGGACCTGAATGAGGGGGAGAGGGGCTCCAAGTCTGGGGAAGTTGTGGCCTGACGCACGGAGAAGGTGGGTCTGTGTCTGGGGACTGGGGGTCACCACTGCCGATGACAGCGTGGCAGGTTTTCAAAGCTGGGTCAAGGAATAGATATGGCATCTGGGGTGGGAGAAGCATGAGACCCTGAGCAATGTGTGACCCATGGCAGCTGTGGGTTATGCAGAGACGAGCCCTGTGTAGGGTGAATATGCAAGGAGGAAGGATGGGTGGAGAGAACTGCTATGAGGTGATGATTGGCCAGCCATGGGGTCCCTGTGCCTCCAACTCAACTAGTACAGGTTGGGGTTCCTCCTGGGGCTGGGGAGAGTGGGGCTGGTGCCAGAAGCAGCATGGTGGCTGCGGGCTCAGTCCCTCAGCTTGGGTGAGTTATGAGCTCCCAGAAGACCCTCCCAGCCATTGCCCGCCCTTTCTTGCCCTCCCAGCCATTGCCCGCCCTTTCTTGCCCTTCCTCTTTATATGTCAGTAAGTTGTATTGTTTTTGTATTTTTAGGCTTTGAAATCAACTTCATTAAGTCTCGGAGCAGCAACATGCTGACGCCCTATGACTACTCCTCTGTGATGCACTATGGGAGGTGAGGACCCTGCCCCTTCTCCCTCTGCCCCTTCTCCCTCTGCCCCTTCTCCCTCTGCCCCTTCTCCTCTCTGCCACACCCCCTTCTCCCTCTGCCCCTTCTCCCTCTGCCCCTTCTCCCTCTGCCCCTTCTCCCTCTGCCCCTTCTCCCTCTGCCCCTTCTCCTCTGCCCCTTCTCCCTCTGCCCACACTTCTCCCTCTGCCCCCTTGCCCCAGCCTCTCCCTCATCTGGACTTTGGAGTCTCTCCCTCTGCTGTGATGCACTCTGGGAGGTGAGGACCCTGCCCTCTTCTCCCTCTGCTGCCCCAGCCTCTCCTGGTCTCTGGACTCAGGTCTCCCACTGGGTTCCAGGCTCGCCTTCAGCCGGCGCGGGCTGCCCACCACATCACCGCTTTGGGCTCCCAGCGTCCACATCGGCCAGCGATGGCCCCTTCTCCCTCTGCCCCTTCTCCCTCTGCCCCTTCTCCCTCTGCTGCCCCAGCCTCTCCCTCATCTGGACTTGGGTCTCCCTCTGTGATGCACTACGGGAGGTGAGGACCCTGCCCTCTTCTCCCTCTGCTGCCCCAGCCTCTCCCTGGTCTGGACTCAGGGGTCTCCCACTGGGTTCCAGGCTCGCCTTCAGCCGGCGCGGGCTGCCCACCATCACACCGCTTTGGGCTCCCAGCGTCCACATCGGCCAGCGATGGAACCTGAGTGCCTCAGACATCACGCGGGTCCTCAAACTCTACGGCTGCAGCCCAAGTGGCCCCAGGCCCCGTGGGAGAGGTGAGTGGCGTGGCAGGAAGGTGACTGGAGCCTGGAGAAGGCACCTGTGCTCTAATGGTGTCAGGGAGGGTGACACGGAGGGAGATGAGGTCGCAGGGACAGCAGGGTGAGATCACGGGGGCCACAGGACGCAGAACAAGCACTTGAGGAAAGTTAACACTCACTATGACTCAGCTCTGACCAAAGAGGAATCGGGCTCCCTCCCTTAGCCTAGATAATAAACATCTACCAAAAACCTAGAGCAAAAGTTCAGGGTAAAACATTAAAACAGGGACCAAGACAACTTTTCCCGCTATTTCCCATCTCCTCCACATTGTGTGGCAGTGGAGGGCCTGGGCACTGAGGTAGAGCTAATGAAACTAAAGGTCCGAGGATTGGAAAGGAAGCAAAAAAATTGTTCATGATAGATTATTACCTGTATTGAAAGCAACAATCTATAAACAATTTATTAGAACTAATAAGAATTAGAAAAGGTAAATACAGTTAATATAAAAATCGTATTTCTGTACAGCTAGTCAGAAAACACAATTGTTAGTAAACATACCATTATAATAGCAATTATAAAGATTCCAAGGAATAAATCTGACAGCTATATCAAACATTTGAGGAAAAATGAACCTTTATTAAAATCATTAAATAATACTTAAATACAGAGAAATACACCCATTATTGAAAGGAAGGCAAAGTTATAAAAATTCAGTCTTCCCAAATTAATCTATAAATTCCCACTCAAAATATCAATTCAATGTTGATCTTGAGAGAGTGATACATATTTTTTTCTTTTTTTTCTTTTTTAAAGTTGGAGTCTCACTCTGTCACCCAGGCTGGGGTGCAGTGGCATAATCTCGGCTCACTGCAGCCTCTGCCTCCGAGGTTTAAGTGATTCTTGTGCCTCAGTCTCCTGAGTAGCTGGGCTTACGGGTGCCCGCTATCACACCCAGCTAATTTTTGTATTTTTAGTAGAGACAGGGTTTCACCATGTTGGCCAGGCAGGTCTCGAACTCCTGACTGCAAGTGATCTGTCTGCCTTGGCCTCCCAATTGATGGGGTGATTATAAAGTTTTTATATGAAAATACGAAAGGTCAGTAATAGCTGAGACATCCCTGAAGGAAAAACTAGAAAGACTTGCCCTAGCAGATACTAGTCATGTAGTTCATGAAACGTCTTTATGTAAAGGCACAGCACTGGGGCAAGGCTAGACAACTGCCCACTGGAACCAAATTCAGAAACGGATCCCATTCAGAAGCAGAGCTTTGATAAAGGGCCTCTGATGGTCACCAGTAAAGGACAGTTAAGTTACTTGTCTTAGAGCCATTTAACATCTATTTAAAAATTCCTAACTCCTGCGCAAATTACTCTGGATGCATGAAAGACACATGTAATAAACTTTAACACATCCAGGAAAAAAATATACAGTAAGATGTCTTCATGACCTTGGGATAGGGAAGGATTGCTTAAATGAGATACAGCATCAACTGTAAAACTAGAAAGATTCATAAATTCAACTACATTAATTATAACTTTGTCCAAAGGCACCAAAAAGAAAGTGAAAATACAGGTTACAAATGAAGATTTTTTTTTTTTTTTTTTTTTTTTTTGAGACAGTTTCAATCTTTTTGCCCAGGCTGGAGTGCAATGGTGCCATCTTGGCTCACTGCAACCTCTGCCTCCTGGGTTCAAGTGATTCTCCTGCCTCAGCCTCCCTTGTAGCTGGGATTACAGGCACGTGCCACCATGACTGGCTGATTTTGTATTTTTAGTAGAGACGGGGTTTCACCATGTTTGCTAGGCTGGTCTTGTGCCTGGTATATATATATATACACACATTAATACAAGAACAAACCAGCTGAGCATGATGGCTCATGCCTGTAATCACAACACTTTGGGAGGCTGAGGTGGGTGGATTGCTTGAGCTTAGGAGTTCAAGACCAGCCTGGACAACATAGTAAGACACCATCTCTGGAGAAAACTAGTGGGGGATAGTGGTGTGCACCTGTGGTCCCACCTACTCAGGGAAGCCGAGGCAGGAGAATCACTTGAACCCAGAGGCGGAGGTTGCAGTGAGCCAAGATCATGCCATTGCACTCCAGTCTGGGTAACAGAGCCAGACTCTGTCTCCAGAAAAAAATAAAACCATCAAACAAAAAACGGGAAGAGACTTTGCAGACATCTGAGACTAAATGGGAAACACACTAAAGATACTCAACCTCAGTAATTGAGGAAATGCAAATGAAGACTACCATACCATTCTATAGCCACTAAACTGGACACTTTGAAGGCCAATGATACCAAATGCTGGCAAGGATATAGAGTGAGGAATGAAAATGCTAGACCCTATTGATAAGAATATGAGTGGCTGTACCCAATTTGTAAAACAACTTGACATCCAGGAAGACCGAAGTGTACATAACCCCTGACCCAGATTCTACTCCTAGGTCATCTTGCACGCAAATGCCCTTTCCCTCCCCTCACTACCTGCTTCCGCCCCCAGCCCCAGGTAATCGCTAACCTACTTTGCCTCTCTGGATTTGCTGATCCTAGACATTTCGCCTAAGTGGAACCATAACACATAGCCTCTTGTGTCTGGCTTCTTAATGTTTTCAAGGTTCATCCATGTTGTCGTATGTATCAATAACATCGCTGAATAACATTCCGTCAGATAGATATGCCATATTCACCAGTTGAGGGACACTTGCATTTTTACTTTGCGGCTATTATGAATAGAGCTGCTGTGGACATTTATGTACAAGATTTTGTGTCAACATGTCATTTCTTTTGAGTATACAGCTAGGAATGGAATTGCTAGGTCCTATGATAACTCCATGTTTAACTGCTAAGATATTTTCAAGTGGATGTACCATTTTTATTCCCACCAGCAGTGTACAAGGGTTCCGATTTCTCCCATCCTTGCTGACACTTATCTATCATTTTGATCAGAACCATCCTAGTGAGTATGAAGTAGTATCTCGTTGTAGTTCTGAGTTGCATTTCCCTAATGACTAACGATGTTGAACATCTTTTCATGTGCTTGTTGGTCATCTGTATCTTGGGAGAATGTTCATATCCTCTGTCTGTCTTCAATTGGGTTGTCTCTTCTGAGTTGTAAGAGTTCTTTATATATATAGACACATGTCCCTCATCAGATGTTGCCCTTAAATATTTCATCACATCCTATGTTTCTCGTTTTACCCACTTTTCAATGATGTCCTTTGAACACCAACATCTGAAATGTGGAAAGTTCAAGAGTTCAACTGACCCATTTTGTCACTCCTTTTTGGTGTCTGTGATGCCTTTGCCTAACCCAAGGTCATGGAGATTTGCTCCTGTTTTCATGTAAGTCTTAGTTTCAGGTTTTACATTTCGGTATACGACCCATTTGGAGTGAACCCTTGAACAGGGTGTAAGGAAGGGGTCCGACTTCATTCTTCATGTAACTAGCCAGTTGCTCAGCACCATTCTTTCCCCTATACTTTTTTTTTTTTTACTGTACTAAGTATCTTCTTTAAAAAAAAACCCTAAAGAATAGTTGTAATAAGAAATTTGTAATTTCTTTTGTTGAGATGGAGTCTTATGTGCCTCAGCCTCCCGAGTAGCTAGGATTACAGGTGAGCACCACCATGCTGGCTATGTTTTATATTTTTAGTAGAGACAGGGTTTTACCATGTTGGCCAGGCTGGTCTTGAACTCCCGACCTCTAGTGATCCGCCTCCCTCAGCCTCCCAAAGTACTGGGATTACAGATGTGAGCCACTGTGCGTAGCCTTGTATGTAATTCTTCTAGAGGTTTGACTACCATGACCAGGGAATTGGGAGGTGGTGGAAAGGCCTGTGGTCAAGGGATGGGTCCATCAAGATGGTGAGCATGAGAGTGCATTCGGATGCTGGAACCATGACCTGCTGGAAGAGAGGGGTGGATACGGCGAGGAGAAAGGACACCCAGAATGTTTGGAAAAAGGCTGCCTGTGGTGGGAGCTGAGGCACTTCCTTGGATCTAGCGGGAAGGAAGAAGACAGGAATAGACCCAAGTCTGCAGGAGGATCTTGACGTACGGATGCGGGGGCCTCTGTTACACAGAGGTGAGGCCACCGGAGGTAGGGAGAGGGGGATGGAAATACAGGAGAAGATGTGCCTCTGCTGACTGAAGAGTGGGAGATGCCTGGTAGACATGGGGGATGCCAGCACTCTAGGACTGGGTCTGGTGGCAGATGTGAGGGCAGGGAAAGGGGGTTGAGGCTGCCTCCGAGGGGCTGACGGCCATGGGGGCCGTGGAGCCTGTGTAGGTGGGAGTGATCTGAAGTGCGGAGGGCTGCGGTAGGAAGATGCTGGGCCCGCGGAGTGTCTGCAGAGCCGCGCTACCTCAGTGTGCACAGGTGGAGGGGGTGCTGTGGAAGGTGGCCCCCAGGAACGGGCTGCAGTGGTGGGAGCTCCTGGTGTTGACCAGATCCAGAGGGAGGTGTGGGCTGTGAGGCTGACAGGACCTGGTAGAAGAGTCGCCAGTTGAAGCGTGGCAACGAGGATTTGGTCAGGGTCAGCTGAGGGAAGAGGCTCCTGGTGAAGCCCTTGCTGCGTGCCCAGGAGGAACTGGGATGGGAGGCAGTGCTGAGGGGCTGGGGCCAGCCAGGGAACATGGGCTTAAATGAGGAAGAGTGCCCACAAAGAGGTGGGGTACAGTCGTAGTCTGGCATGACAGTGAAGAACGAAGCCCCAGCCTGCCTCCTGGCACAGTGCAGGGTTTGGATGTGGCCGTTCCGTGCAGGAACAGTTCTAGGGCTGGTCTTGGGTTCGGGGCAAGTGAGTGGGGTATGGCCGTGGGCAGAGCAGCCTGGGTGAAGGGTCCGGAAGGCGGGCGCTTTGGTGTTGGGTCAGGCGACTTAACTGTCCCGGCAGTCTCGGGTGTGAATGAGGCAGTGGTAGAAGCCTGAGTGGCCTGACGTTCTGATGGTGACTTCGGGGGCCAGGCAGGGAAGAGATGGGATGGCTTCGTTGTCCTGGTCTCTGGCGGTGTGGGAATCCAGTATTAGAGGCATTAGGCGGTGGCATGGGTGGGCACCACTCCGGTGAGCCAGGCTCCTCGTCCCTGTGAGTAACGCTAAAGCCAGCTCTGGCTCCGCCCAGCCGGGCCACATGTCATCGTCCAGTTCTGAGGTTCTATCTCCTGTCTGTCCTGTTGCAGGGTCTCAAGCCCACAGCCCTGGCAGGAGCCCCGCTCTGGCCTCCCCATCCCTGCAGCAGCTTCTGGAGGCACTGTCAGCGGAATCCAGGAGCCCCGACCCCAGTGGTTCCAGTGCGGGAGGCCAGCCCGTTCCCGTGGGGCCTGGGGAGAGCCCACGTGGGTGGGAGTTCCCTGTCCTGAAAAAGCTCAGTGCGGAGGCCTTGGCAAGGCAGCCTCAGACCCTGGCTTCCTCCCCGAGGTCAAGGTCTGGAGCAGGTGTGCCCGGTATTGCTCAGGAGCAGTCCTGGCTGGCCGGAGCATCCACTGAGCCCACAGCCCCATCTTCAGAAGCGGGAATCCAGCCAGTCTCTGTCCAGGGAAGCCCAGCTCTGCCAGGGGGCTGTGTACCTGGCAATCATTTCAAGGGGAGGTCCAAAGATTAAGCCTGTGGCTTCTGTCACCAGGTAGGGAGGGCATCCTCTGCCCAGTGGAGCTGAGTCATCTACCTCTTGGCTCCTCTGGGCCACACACTATCTTCCAGCCCCAACCTACCACCCCATCTCAGAGGGCCGGGCCTCTTCCCGTCTCTCTCCACGGTGTTCCCTAAGGGCTCCTAGGGCCAGGGGTTCTTCTAGCTCTGCCACAGGGGAAGGCAGGCCTGGCTCTGCCTGCTCTTGACTTTTGCCCCAGTCCTGGAAGATGCTGGGAATGGGAGGTGACATTCTCCAGGGACAGGTCCTCGAAGGAGTGGGGAAGAAGTAGGTTCCAGTCATGCCAGAACCCTGGAATCCCTCCTGTGCCTGAGACCCTGCCCCCCAGCATAGACTAATGGTGTCCCTACCTCTCCCTCAGGGTAACCCTGTGGCTGGGACCCTGGGAACAGCCTCCCATCCCAGCCAACATACCCAAGTATGGGGGACGTTCTGCGGTGGTGTGGCCTCCAGCCCTTCTCTCCAGGAGGCTTTGAGAGCCCAACTCAATCCCCTGCAGAGCAGGAAGGTGCTGGGTCAAGGGCTGCCACCCATCGGGGAGAAGAGAAAGACGTGGGCATCCCCCAGACTGCACAATGGGAACCCCAGCTGGCCTCTGAACAGAAGATTCGGTCGTCTCTACCCCAGACCGCTATTACCTGGAGCTCAGCCAGGCGCAGCCTTGGAAGGAGAAAGGGCTGGGGTTACCTGGCCTGGCCTCCTCCAGGCAGGCCCCCCTCCTCCTCTGCCCCAGCCCTGGGCCTCCTCAGGCAGGCCCCCTCTCCTCTGCCCCAGCCTGGGCTCCTCCAGGCAGGCCCCCCTCCTCCTGCCCCAGCCCTGGGCCTCCTCCAGGCAGGCCCCCTCCCTCCTCTGCCCCAGCTCCTGGTCACTGCCCTCCTCCCAGGCAGGCCCCACTTCTCCTCCCCAGCTCCTGGCTTTCCCCGTGAGGTTTGTCCCAGGCATGAAGAAAGCATCAGGGGTGCCAGTGAGTGGAGGCCTGGGTCAAGCCTCTCCAATCCCCGAGGGTACTGCTGTTGGCCTTTCAGAGAGGGGTAGCCCTGGGCCTCCTCCAGGCAGGCCCCCCTCCTCCTCTGCCCCAGCTCCTGGTCTGGCCTCCTCCAGGCAGGCCCCACTTCTCCTCCCCAGCTCCTGGCTTTCCCCGTGAGGTTTGTCCCAGGCATGAAGAAAGCATCCAGGGTGCCAGTGAGTGGGCCTGGGTCAGAGGCCCCTCAGTCCCCGAGGGTACTGTTTTGTTGGCCTTTCAGAGGGTCAAAGAAGGCCTGCTTGGGGTGGAAGGGGGTAGGAGGCCCACATGTTGGGGGAGGGAATAAAGTGGAGTGTGCTGTGCTGACCTTCCTGCCTCCTGTGTGCCTTTAACGCCCCTTGCCCTCTGGGGCCCCAGGTGGCGCTCCCACCTTCCAGGGAAGACAAAGACTTCAGCAAGTGCTCCAGGGGTCCTGGCCAGGAAGCAGCAGGGCAGGGCTGAAGCTTGAAGTTCCCAAGTTCTGGGGAGAGGTTGCTGTTTGCCAGCCTTCTGGAGGGTTAATGCTGGGGCCGCACTGGGGACACGAGGACGCGCTCAGGGGACACTGGCCTCTGCCTTCAGTCGACCTTGGGTTTCAGTCGTGAGTCACGAACCCTGAGACTGAACAGCGGCCCAGTCCTGGGCATTAGCACAAGGGAAGGACTGCGGGGAGGTGCTGTTCCTCCTCTTGCTCCTGGCTGGGGGAGTGGGGTCTGGGTGAGTGTAGAATAGATAGGGACTCTGGCCATGCCCCTAGGAGTAGGGGACGGCCCTGCTGGGAGGCTCCCAGGCAGAGACCTTGAGGCAGCCCTAGGACAGAGGCAGTACATGCAGTGCCCCATTTATCAAGGACAGAGGCTGGCACTCCTCTTGGCCTCTGCTGCTGGGTGGAAGGAGGTGCTGTGCTTCATGCCCGGGTGGCCCCTGGCTCTCGGGTCACCCATCACCAGCCTCCATTAGGATTTGGCTCTTGGTCTCTGATCCTGGGTTCTCTTAAAGATGCCACTTGTCTGAGCCTGGTGGCTTAAGGGGAGGGCAGGGACAAAGTTCAGTCCTTTGAGCCCCAGCCTGAGTGGTGGGAAGGGTACAGGGCCCTGGGGTATTAACCAAGCCCAGGCAGCTAGCCATCCCCTCCCAGGGGTCTGTGGCCTGTTTACCTCCTCAGTCACCGACCATGTAGCTGTGTAGGGGCAATTTGTTCACTCATCCAACATACTAGGCAGTCTCTGTTCTGCTGGGAATAGCAGTGAGCAAGGTGGGTTCCTCTTCTCATGGAGCTTATTCAGGGCGGGGAGGGTTGGAGAATAAGTCAGCAAACCAGAAAACATCTGGCATTGGCAAATGATGGCAGAGGGGAGCACCCCTTTAGGCTGCTGGTTAGGAAGGGCCCCTCTGAGGATGTGACATTTCAGCCTAGCCCTAAATGGCAGGAGGCTGCCTGTGAAAATTCAGGAACTGAGTAGCCAGTGCAAAGGCCCTGAGGCAGGGAAAAGCAAGGTGTGTTGGGTCTGTGTAACTGGCACAGGGAGGGGGCCACAGCCAAGCCAGAGACAGGGAGGGTTTTACTCCACAAGCAACAGGCGGCAGCCCCTGGAAGGTTTGAAGGAAGATGGTGCCACATCTGACTTCAGGTTTTAAAAGTCCTTGATGCATTCTGGAGAATGGGCTGGAAGCAGAATAGCTGGGAAGCCACTGCTGTTGTGCAAGGGAGAGGGGCTACAGCGATGGACAGGAGCAGGTCCTTTTGGAGTGTTTAGGGGTCACAGTGGCCCCACTTGTGATTGCATGTGTGGGGTGAGGGCACAGGCTCTGAGTGGGGAGCTGCACCGTTCACTGAGAATCCAGCACTGAGGACCTTGGGGCAAGCAAGGCAGGGCTGGGGCAAATGGGTATGTCAGGTCTGAGGTGTCCAAAGGGGTCAGCGAGTAGGTGAGCTGAAGGAACCTGGAGTTCAGCAGGGAGAGCAGGTCAGGAGGTGCCTGGGGAAGTGCTGTCGCATCTGGAGGGGAGTCATGGGTGTAGAAGAGGAAGGATCCCCAGACCGAGCTAGGGTGCTGCATTTAGAGCAGCATTTCTTAATTTTAGTGTTTCAGCATTTTGTACCTGGTAATTCTTTGTGGTGGGGGCGGTCCTGAACCTTGCAGGATGTTTGACAGCATCTTTGGCTCCTACTCACGATGCCAGTAGTGGCCCCCTCCCTGTATTCCAGACAGTGCCGAATGTCCTTTAGAGGGGGAGAGAGAATCACTCTTAGCAAGAACCTCTGATTTAAGAGTTTGGGAGAAGAAAAGGCTGCAGAGTGGTTTTCAAGGCGATCACAGACCCTGTGAGTGTTCCGGGGTAAGGGCTGCTATGCCAAGTGCTGCTGAGAAAGAGGGCAGAACAAGCCTGGTGCTTGGTGATGTGCAGTAGGGCACCCACAGAAGACCCTGGTGGAGGGTCTGCAGATGCCCTGCGGGGGTTAAGGAGAAGGTGAGGAGGCTATGGGAGGCAGCAGAAAGGGGACAGGGCTGGGTGGGGGGCTTCTAAGGGGTGGGGCTGGCTTTGTAGAATAGAGGCAGTGACCATAAGGGGGGATAACTGAAGCAGGGGAACCCCGGGGTAAGATGAGAGGGGTTGGGCTCCAGGGCACAGGCTGAGGACTTGCCCGTCAATCAGCAAAGAGAGTTTGAGGTCAGATGCAGGCAGGCGTCGGGGGAGGGGGTAAGTTCCTGCCTGGACTTCCCTTTCCCCCTAAGTACCAGGTGGAGTCACAGCCTGGAGGGCGGAGGAGCGGCTGGGAGGTTGGAGAGGGAGGGAGGGAGGGAGGGAGGGATGCCAATTTTAACAAGTGGGAAAGTGAACGAACTAGGGAAGTTTGGAGATTTGTGGTCACGAATTTAGAGCAAGGCCAGTCGATGCAGAGAGTGTTTTGCTCCGGAAAGAGCAGCTGCTTGGTCAAAGGCAGGCAGTGGGTAGATGATTTAGGTTTGACCAGAGCTGGGGTTTTGTCAAGATCTTTATGCAGAGAGGACGACTGACTTCTATCATAGAGGACGTGACCCAAGGATCTGGGAAGTGGGGAGGTTGGGGCATACGGGATGGTCTGGGGATAAGAGTCCCACGGACTGAAAGGCTGGTTTGCGGGTTGGGGGAGGCGTCTGGAGACAGGTGGGGTGTGTGGCCCGATGGGGGTCTGTCCCAGTGGGCCCTTAGGGGAGGGAAGGCACCGTTGTGAGCTGCTGGAGCCCCAGCCCAGGAGATCTGGTGGCACTATCTCACCTCTCAGGCCTGGAGAAGTGGCTCCATGGCTTCCAACTAAGGTCTCACAGCCAGCGATGGGACAACCGTCTTGCCCTTCTTTGGAAAAGGTGGATCGCTTCCACGGCTAGGTCCTTTCCCCATGGCCCCTCTTCCCAAGGACATCCCTCCAGGGCACCCTCATTTGGGCTGTCTTAGAATGCTCATGTTATGTGTGCACTGTTGCCTGCTGCCACTGTCCCTCACGGCCAGTGACCTTGTGCCAGGTACCGGGGACAGAGAAGGGATGTCCACTGTGCTGGGCAGCAGCGATGTAACAAACCCATCAGACGCCATCTGGGTACAGTGTGCTGAGTGTGGAAGTGGTGCCGCCTGGGATCGAGGAACCTGGAGAATGGAGGTCCTCTGCCTGAGGGCGTGGTGACTGGTGAGTGGGCCTTGAAGTGTGAGTAGGAGCCCACCAAGCACAGAAGGAAGGGTGACAGGGTATCTCCAGCATAGCAAACAGCCTCAGGGAAGGTCTGGAGAGTGGAGACCCAGGGCACTTCCAGAGTCCAACACTGGCCTGGCAGGGCATGGATGGAGGGCTGGGATCCACATTGTGCTCTGCCTGCCCACTCCCCTGCTATGCATCGGGGAACGCTCCAGCTGCTCCTGCTGCTGGCTGTTGCTGGTCCGGGACTGAACTATGCCTATCCCTGTGGAACAGGATGTTGGCGCAAGGTCAGGTCTAGTTTGGGAAGAGCTGAAGGAAGCCTTGCTATGGCTAGTAGGCTCCAATTCCTGCACCTGGCAGCCTCATGGGGCTGGTTGGAGCAGGCAAGACCTGAAGGTGTGTGTGTGTGTGTGTGTGTGTGTGGGAAGACGGTGAGCCTCAGAGAGGAGCAGGAGCTGTGTTATGTCATGGCCCGCACGGCCCTGGAGAGCCAGCGCACCCACACTGCCCTTGTCCGTACTGGGATGCAGCTGGGAGGAGACGGCTGCAGTAGAAGGCGACAGCCTGGGGCAACCGTATGGATGCCAAAGCAGCTCCTGCTGCCCAGAGGGCACATATCTCCCAGGTCTGCCAGCTGTAGACTCTGTCCCTGGCTGTCCCCACCTGGCCTCGTGCCCAGCTGGCCCAACGAAAGATGCCTAGCAAGGCTTGACACTCAGTAGACCCAAAGTTGTCACTTCTAGGAAGGCCCAGGTGAGCGCCCTTCGTGGGGACTTGCAGGGTGGGGAGGGCACACGGGCAACCCAGTCTCAGCTCCTGCAGCACCCCTTGAAGGAAGATGGGTCAGAAGACAAAGGCTGACGCTGGCTGCGGAGTCTGGGGAGCTGCTCACTGGCTCCCAACCCACATGTGGTTGGAGATGGTAGAAAGGCCGTTCCTTCCAATGCCCACGTGGGCCTCTGGCAGGCCCAGACTGTGCAGGCCTTGGGAGCCCCGGGACGGGCAGGCACTTGCCTAAGTAGCTGCTCCCAGGCTCTCATGGCCACCCTCTGTCCTTCCTCAGGGAAGGGGCTACTGGCATCTCTCCATCACTGGTGATGTATGCCCAGGCGGTGCCCAGGCCCTGCCCAGCCCAGAGGGTGGGAAAGACACATCCAGGAAACTGTGTCTAGCAGAGTGGTCGGTTTCCAGCTGAAGCCTGGGGTCGGGGGTGGGGAGGAGGCTGACTGCCCTGTCCGAACCCAGCCCTGGCAGCATCCACACCATGGGCTGTGGGCACTTGCACCTCATCAGAAGCTGGGGAGTCTGGCAGAATGACAGGGATGGGGGGATCAAGGAGGCACCTACTCCCAGCACCCCCCTGTGGCTGGGGTGCTGGTCTGCGTACCTGAGACGGGCACCTCCCACCTGAGCCTGGGGAGGCGCTAGACATTGTCTGTGGGCACTGAGAGGCCACATGCTCTGCTCCCATGGAGGGGGCAGGGAGGAGAGGAGGTCCAGCAGGTTGGACCGGGCCTGCGGGGAGCCCCACTGTCAGAGGTGGATTGGCGCTTATTTACACAGAGGATGCCTTGCAGAGTTGGGCTGTGAATAAGAGGCCTGGCTCAAGGCGGGGCTTATGACATTAGGGGCTCCAGAACGGGAAAATGCCCTCAGGGCTGCCCAGGCTGGTGCTGGTGGCCGGTGGCAGGGAGGGTGAGTGGGGGCCCTGAGGGAGAGAGGTTGCTCATAGCTCTTTGAAGGCAAATGGGGGGCCTTAGTCTGAAGTTTTTTTTTTTACCCCAACCCTCTTTCCACTGTCACCCCCAGAAGAGCTTCAGTGTATATGGGGGGAGCCAGGCAGGACCGCAGCAGGGAGGGAGGGTCAACCCCTTCCTCCGGGGTCACTACAGAATCGGAGGGACACTCCTCCCTTCACTCCTCCCTTCACAGCTGCCCCTGAGACCTGCTTTTTCTTGGAGTTGTGTGACAAAGGCCCCACCCTTTGCTCCCCCACCGCAGGGTCTCCTTGCTTTATTCCCAGGAAGGGACCTCCCCTTCGCATCAGTCAAGCGGCAGCAGCTCGCCCCGTGCCCCGTGCCCCGTACAAACCCTCGGCTGAGTCGCAGTTGATGCTGTGATTGGAGTCCAAGCCAGTTTCCCTCTTACCTCCTTTGCCCTTAATGGAGGAAACTGAGGCAGCTGCGGAGACACAAGACGCCGAAGTCCTAAGTCCCAGGCTGCAGACGGTGGCTCCGGGACCCGGGCTGGGCTCGCGGGCGGCAGCAGGGGGCGCTCGCTGGCCCGACGGAGGGAAGCGCGAGGGGAAGCGCCCGGGAAGGGTCGGGCCGGCTCCCGGCTCCCCCACCTCTCCGCGGGGTGTCTCCGCGGCCGGGCCGGGAGGTGTGTTACGACCCGGCCCCCAGCCCCACGCCCGCCCCGCCCTCCCTGCTGGCTCCCGGGCGGCGGAAGGGAGAGCAGCGCGCACCGGCGCCCGGCCCAGCCCGACTCCCCGGGAGGAGGGTCCCGTCCCGGTGCCGCCCCGCGCGCCAGCTCCGCGTCCCGGCTCCCGGCTCCCACCGACCCCTCCACAGCTGCACGCGTCCTGCGCGGGGGCCGAAGACCCCGGCCGCCGGGCCCCTCCGCTCTCCGGAGGTGCGGCCGCCGGGAGGGAGGGAGGCAGAGGCGCGGGGCGGGGTCCGGGCGCGGGGGTGCGGGGGTCCGGGGTTCCGGGGCTCACGCCTCCCGCGAAGCGCACCTTCTGCCCACCTCGGTCCGCCCGCAGCCCCGCCTCCCTCCCGCTTCCGCGCCCGCCTCCAGTCTCCGCCCTCCCAGCCGCGCGCCCCGCTCCCCGCTCCCCTGCAGGCGCGGCTGGGGCGAGAGCCCGCGAGCTGAGCGGGCGCAGGGTCCTCCGCGCCTCCTCCGCGCCTCCTCCGAGAACCGGCCCAGCCTGGCCCGCGCCCCCAGTCCAGCGCGTCCGGCATCCGCGTGGCGGGAGGGCGCGACTTTCTCCGGTCCCGCGTGGGACGGGGACGGCGGTGGGACAACTTGGAAAACTTCTCGGGGGCAGACGGCAGGGACCCCGGGCGCCGGCGGAGGAGGATGTAGGAGGGCGGCGGCTGGTCCCGGGTGTTCCCGACCTCCTAGGCCCCGCTCGTCCAGGCCATGGGACTCCAGCGCCCTCGGCGCCTCTGGAGGGGCGCCGCTCTCGTCTAGCCGAACCGGGCAGCGCTGTCGTCCACGGGGTGCACCGGGCGGGCAGCGCTCCCTCTGCCCACGTCCCGCCCAGCCATGGACCACCAGGACCCCTACTCCGTGCAGGCCACGGCGGCCATCGCGGCGGTCATCACCTTCCTCATCCTCTTCACCATCTTCGGCAACGCGCTGGTCATCCTGGCTGTGTTGACCAGCCGCTCGCTGCGCGCCCCTCAGAACCTGTTCCTGGTGTCGCTGGCCGCCGCCGACATCCTGGTGGCCACGCTCATCATCCCTTTCTCGCTGGCTAACGAGCTCCTCGGCTACTGGTACTTCTGGCGCACGTGGTGCGAGGTGTACCTGGCGCTGGACGTGCTCTTCTGCACCTCGTCCATCGTGCACCTGTGCGCCATCAGCCTGGACCGCTACTGGGCCGTGAGCCGCGCGCTGGAGTACAACTCCAAGCGCACCCCGCGCCGCATCAAGTGCATCATCCTCACCGTGTGGCTCATCGCCGCCGTCATCTCGCTGCCGCCCCTCATCTACAAGGGCGACCAGGGCCCCCAGCCGCGCGGGCGCCCCCAGTGCAAGCTCAACCAGGAGGCCTGGTACATCCTGGCCTCCAGCATCGGATCGTTCTTTGCTCCTTGCCTCATCATGATCCTTGTCTACCTGCGCATCTACCTGATCGCCAAACGCAGCAACCGCAGAGGTCCCAGGGCCAAGGGGGTGCCTGGGCAGGGTGAGTCCAAGCAGCCCCGACCCAACCGTGGTGGGGCTTTGGCCTCAGCCAAGCTGCCAGCCCTGGCTTCTCTGGCTTCTGCCAGAGAGGCCAATGGACACTCGAAGTCCACTGGGGAGAAGGAGGAGGGGGAGACCTCTGAAGATACTGTGACCCGGGCCTTGCCACCCAGTTGGGCTGCCCTTCCCGACTCAGGCCAGGGCCAGAAGGAAGGTGTTTGTGGGGCATCTCCAGAGGATGAAGCTGAAGAGGAGGAGGAGGAGGAGGAAGAGTGTGAACCCCAGGCAGGGCCAGTGTCTCCGGCCTCAGCTTGCAGCCCCCCGCTGCAGCAGCCACAGGGCTCCCGGGTGCTGGCCACCCTACGTGGCCAGGTGCTCCTGGGCAGGGGCGTGGGTGCTATAGGTGGGCAGTGGTGGCGTCGACGGGCGCAGCTGACCCGGGAGAAGCGCTTCACCTTCGTGCTGGCCGTGGTCATTGGCGTTTTTGTGCTCTGCTGGTTCCCCTTCTTCTTCAGCTACAGCCTGGGCGCCATCTGCCCGAAGCACTGCAAGGTGCCCCATGGCCTCTTCCAGTTCTTCTTCTGGATCGGCTACTGCAACAGTTCGCTGAACCCTGTCATTTACACCATCTTCAACCAGGACTTCCGCCGTGCCTTCCGGAGGATCCTGTGCCGCCCATGGACCCAGACGGCCTGGTGAGCCCACCTGCGCTGCCCCTGTGGGGTTGGTGCGGTGGTGCCGGGGCCACCCTGCTTCTTGCCCTGCTGTGTGTGACTGCCTCCCCTGGGCTTTCTGCTCCCTGCCCAGATCCTGCAGGCTTTGTCTTAGGAACCCCTCGGGAGGGGTGGGCGGGGGGGGGCTGTTAGCAAGGGTCCCAGTGAAGCCTCCCCTTGCCATGTTAGCTGTGGGGGACCCCTTCTCCACCCTCTCCCTGAGCACAGGCTGATGGAGGTGGTTCAAATCCTCCAGAACATAGCCCAGACAGGAGAAGAGAGAGCACTTCCTTCCCAGAGCTCCGAGCTCTCCAGGCCACTGTCTGGGCTTCCGTTTCTTGAGGACCCTGTGTTCCTGGCAGGTCACTTGCTTGTGGTGTTTTTGTTTCTTTTTCATCTCCCCCCACCCACAAAGAGCACGCAGCCAGCCTTCCACTTTCCCAGGGGGGCTTGCTACTGAGGAGGAGGAAGAAACGAAGACTGATCGCCCACGCTAGGCACTCGCGGTCCCTGGCAGGCGCTGGGATGGGGGCTAATGGGGTGGCACCATCTCTGGGCCCTCCTTTCCCCCTTCACCCGTTTTTGGATCTGTGGTTCCTTTAAAGGCCAGAACCATGGATCGGCTTCCTTACCCAGCACCCCTCCGGCAGGTGGGTGGCCACGTGGATGCCTCGCTGGGGCGGTCTTGGAGGCCTGGTCTCTGCCTCGACGGGAGATCCCCGATCACTGGCATTCACCCCCTGCAAAAATCGGGGCGACAATAGCTCGCCGCCTACTTGCTGCAGGGAGATGAAAGGCTTTGCAGAAAGCTTTGAGCTCCGTGGGGGAGCACACTAGAGAACCAAAAATGTGATTATCCGGTGATATAAAAATCCCTTTCCTCTGTGTTTACCGCCACCTGTCTTCCTGTAGACTTTGGTTCTGTCCCTGGGGTGTGTGAGTTCCTACCCCAAACTGGAAGCAGGGAGTGGTAGACAGAATCACTATTTCAAGTTAAAGATCTCTTTGAGAATGTGTTCTTGTGGCTGCAAAGGTCTGAGTTATTATGCTACATTGACAGCGTTTCGACATTTCACCTGCAGCACCAAGAGGGTTTTTAGCGGCTTGGGCCTCCCCAGTGGGGATAAGTCCTTTGTCAGCAAGGAGGCAATTTCCCCAGGACAGCCCACAATATCCATGCCTTGGGAACAGTCTAAGATGAGAGCCTGTGACAGGTGGCAGAGCCCCCAGGTGGGGTGCTGGCATGAGATCCTGGTGGGCCCCTAGGGGAGTCTCCCACTGGAGTGACCAGCCAGGTCTCCAAGCCCCAAATGAGTCCTTGTGAACCACAACTGATTCCGCCAGGGGGATGTTTGTGGACGGCCTCAGACACAGCCACGCTGCTTCCCCCACTCTGATGGGGCTGTGCACTAAGGACCCCCGCTTCCTGGTTCTCAGTCCCACCCCAAACCCGGCACCCAGGACAGTTGGAAGTGTGGAAAGGAGGTTTCCCAGCCTTCCCTTGGGGAGGGCCTGGCTTCAACGCTGGGCCAGCAGGCATCTTAGCTTGGCAGATGTGGGGGCAACGGGCCAGATGGACCTGCCAGATTTAGAAGGGCACTGAGGGAGTTTTCTGGGTGTAGAGAGAATGGAGGGGACCAAAAAGAGTCCTTCCTGGGGTGCGGGAGGCCACCCAGCTCGGTCCTCAGTGGGTTGTTATGAGGCCAGAGCACCGCCCCGGGATGTGGTGGGGAGCTGGGCCAGGGGAGGGACTGATTGTGACCCTCTGCTGGCCAGTCTTGTGTGTGCCCCATGGGACCCCTGTGACCTCTTATTGCGACATGCAGGTGTTTTTTTGTTTTGCTTTTTTTTTTTAAAAAAAAAAACTCTGAGCTATTTTATCAATAAAGGATATTTTGTAATAAGTAAGTGGTGTCCTTATTGCCCAAAGGCTGCCTGGAGCAGTTATTCCTCAGCGGCTGGCACAGCACACTCTAGGTGTTGGCCCAATGAGCTGGGGCTCCCTCCGAGGGCCAGTAGTCCTCTCCTCCCTGAGATGTGGCTGGCTGGTCCCCCCAAGCCCCTGCCCTTCCTACCCGCCTTTGTCCACGAAGCATCCTTACTCATCATCACAAGCCAATGGGTGAGGGTGGCTGGAGGAGTCTGAGACTGACTCCCGGGAGGGAGGAGAAGGGAGGGCTTCCTGGAGGAGGTGGCCTTTGGGTTGGGTCTTGGAGGAAGAGCAGGAGTACACCAAGAGGCAAGACGGGAGGGTGTTTTGGTGGGGGAAGGGCATGTGTAAAGGATGTGACTGAGTTTGAAAACGGCCCCAAGCTAGCCCCAGGTGGTCTGGTGCCACGGCCTTCCTGCCCTACTTAGTCGCCACAGAGTGGGCAGTCCTGGGGCTGAACCAGGTGGGCCTGGTCCCACGGGCAGGGGGGCAGATGGCAGGCTGGCAGCAGGAGGCCGTGGGCAGGGCCAGCACCAGTGGCCAGCCCAGGGAGGGGAGGGAGGAAGGAGGAGACGTGAAGCCCCAGGGTCCTCAGTGTGAGGCCATCCCTTTACTTCCACATTGGCCCAGAATCTTCACTCTCACCACCTCCGTACTGGCATGGGCCATGCTTCTGCTAGGGACAACCAGCGAGACCTCCAGTGTACCCACCATCACTGACGGACATGGGGACATGGGCTTCACTGAGGACTTAACAAGAAAGACATGCCCTGCCCTGCTCTCAGCTCCCCACACCTGCCGAAGTGCCCACTGGTGATGCCCAGAGGCCTGATATGCGTAGATGAGGATGGTTCATTGACTCCCTTTTACTGATCCAGGCTCTTCTTTGTCTGATGACCTCACTTAATCCTTATGCCTGACTGTAAGGTAAGTATCAGCCCATTTTTATACTAGCAAAATAAAGGCTGAGAAAGCTGTAATGACCTGCTCGAGGTCATCCAGGCCCAGCCTCTTTCTGTTGGACCACATTGTTCCCCAGTGCTTAAGCGTCTGCAAGGGGCAGGCCCTTGAGCCTGGGAGTAGAGAACCCCGCCCAGACTTTGGAAGTGGTGGTAGAAAGATATACCCTCCTGGAACAGGACTATTTGCAAGCCCATTTTGAATACATTATCTTGTTAATCCTCACAACCCTGATGAGAGTGATCATTTTACAAAAAAAAAAAAAAAAAAAATTTGAGACTTAAAGAGACCTCTCTAGGTCCTGAAATCACAAAACTGTGAAATTCAGGTGATGAAGAATCGTGATTCCATCTCTTCGGCCAGCTCTCATTCGGTGGCGCTGGGTATCCGAAGATCCTGAAACTGCAGGTGGTGAATTCAGCAGGTGACTATGCTGTGATTGATTGTTCATGTCTGCCACTGCCACAGACTATGTAATTGATGGCAGGTGTGTCCTAGATTTTCCATTCCTGACAGCTCAGTCCAACCCCTGAACTGTATGAAGGAAGAGACTGGGGCCCAGAGAGAGGAGATGACTGACCTCAGGGGGCGTCACACAGACACAGCTGGCTGAGCTGGATCTAGATCTAGACCCAGGTTGCCCATCATGCCACACTTTCACACTGAAGGGATTGCATCCGAACTCAAGGAATAACAGGCCCACATTCAGGAAACGTCCGCTGACAGTCAGCTGTGTGGCAGGACCTGTGCTTGGCTCGTCCCCACTTTGCTATCTCTTTCAGTTCTCAGATGAGGAACTGGGGAGCGGAGTCTCAGGCGCCTGCCCAGGCCCCTCAGCTAATGGGGTGCAGCTGGAGCTGGGCCCGGGACCTGGCTTCCTATCAGGCCTTCTCTCTCACGCTCCATTCCCGCAGCTCTCTGTGAGTAGGACCTGCTTTTGACTTCGCCGTGAGCCCATCTGAGGGCTACAGGTTGATGAGACTGGCTGAGAGCAGCAGAGGTGGGAGTGGGGTAGGTGCAGCCCTCTGCCTCCAGGAATAATCCTGGCAGGTCACCTGGCGGTGAGGGTGGCAGGCGTGGGGGGCGGGTGCGAGGCCGGCAGGGGCGCTTAGGCCTGGCAGCTCACCAGGTGGATGGCAGCTGTCTCAGCCGGTCACATCATCCTTCCAGACACCCCTTTCTTAAGACGTCCCTGCTGGAAGGGAGGCGCTGCTGCAGAATGCAGTGTAAGAGGAGCTGGGCAGAGCAGGATGAGGAACATTCCACAGCCGCACCTCCTCTCTGAGAACCTGGGTCCTTACATGGCAAGGATACCCTTGAGAGGGCCTTAAGAGGCAGCTCTACCTTGGGAGGGCTGCTGAGAACTTTGGGCTGCTGAGAGCTCCTCTTTGGAGCACTGTGGCTGAAGGGACTCCTGACCCTTGTTTAAGGGGGGACCTGTGGCAGGAGAGCCCGGCTGATCTGCCCCCAGTACTCAAGGTGGAGGAGGCTTGAGGGTTCATCAGGCCCTGGACCCTCTCCCCATCCTGTGCATGGTCACCCTGTGTGTGGGGGGCCACTGGCAAGGGGTGTGAGACCTTGCCCAGCTCCCACCTGCAAATGGGTTTGCCGCTGGCTGGGGAGGAGGCATCGGCCTGTCTGCAGTTGGACCTGGACAGCATTTGGCTTCCCTGGCACTGGCAGGGCTTTCTGCTCCCAGATCCTGGTTGCTGTGGGTGGCAGGGCAGGGGGAGGTGGGGAACACAGGAGTCATGTCCTGTCCCTGCCACCACCTGCTGGGCTGTCCTTAGGCAGGACTCGGTCCCCCTCTGGACCTTAGTGTCCTCGTCTGCCCAGGCAGGATTGCCCCTGCGGTCCCCAGGGTTCCCCAGCTTGGGGCTCCATCTCTGCCCTCCCCCCACTGCCACTCCCTGCCCCAGCTCCCTGGGAGGCCCAGACATGAAGGTTCCGGGAGTTAATCAGTTGTTCTTAGTGTCAGGCTCGTGGGCAGGATGGCGGTGGTGTTTTCCTCACCTTTGTACCTCAGCGCAAAGTTAAACGGTACTGGAGTAACCGATCGGTTTGGGGCCCTCTGAGATGTGCCGTGGTGAAAGGAATCATGACAGCCCTGAGATATTAGGGTCCAGGGCCGGACACCCATCACTGGAAATTGATGTGATTACTATTCCTATTTCACAGGCAAGGAAATTGAGGCAGAGGCAATCGGCTGTGGTCATCCAGAACCAGGACATAAATGTACCCAATCTCATTTCAGTGGTGTCACCCACTGGCCTCACTCTGCCTCCTCAACAGCCCTGCCTCCAGAACCAACCTCTGCCTCTTCCCCAGCCCTGCCTCCAGCACCAGAGCTCAAGCTCTGGGTCCTTCCCAGTCCAGCAGAGCACCTGCCCTGTGTGAGCTTGGGAGCCTCCCCTGCTGACCCCAGCCACTCTGGGCAGCTCTCCCTGCTGGGTGGCCCTTCCACGAGAGCAGGAGCCCTGGCAGGGGGTACAAGACTACCACCCTTCCAGGCTCTGCTCACTGTCAGCAGGGGAGGCGGGGAGCTCTGGGCTAATTTTAGATTCTGGGATTCTTCGTGCTCCTGCATCCGTCCGCTCTTCCATCTGGGCTTGGGGAAGGCTGTTGTCAGAAGGCCAGTGCTGGAAGGGCCTGGATGTCAGCTCGCACCCTCCCCCCGCTTGTCTGCTCTGATCTTCTCACACGCTGGACTGACCCTGGCCAAAGGCTCCTGCCCTTGGCGTGGCCTTGAGGCCAACGATTGATCAGCAGTGATTTCAGAGATGAGGTGCCCCTTTACCGCCCACCCGCTACCCCCTGGGATTCTACGTTCCCACCTTCCTCCACTCTCCCTTCTCCTCCCTTCTTCCCTTACCCTATCCTGGCCCTTCCCACTTCCGGGTCCTCAGCACCTCCCCCTCCTCCAAACCTCCTGTTGCCTCCTGCTAATCCCCTGACCCCTGCCTTGCCCAGGGGGATGGTCCTGGCTCTTCCTGAGCTTACGGGCTCCATGGAGCACTGGTGCCTGTGAGGGGACCGGAAGAGACTGGAGACCAAAAAAGAGCCTCCCTCCCTGGAAAGTCAGGGCTATTTCTGTCCTTGCAGCAGCCCATGGGGCCCCCGCTCTCCGGCAGGGCAGGCGGGGGAGTTGCTGAGGGTCTTGACTTTTGATTTCCCTGGGGAGAGGGCAGGCCCCTTCTGGAGCTGCAGAGTGGACCCCACCAATCTCAGAGCAGCTGGGACTCAGATGGAATTTGCTCCCCACCCGTGGGGACTGGAGCTGCTTCAAGAGGGAAGAGGGCTGTGGTGTGGTGTGGGGGACCCAGGTGTCTTGGTGTCACAGCTCAGCCCAGCCCAGTCACAGCCACAAAGGGAGGGTGAGAGGCTACCTGGGCCCGCCGCTTGGATTCCCCAGTCGGGGAGCCAAGGGTTAAACGCAGCCTTCCTCCTCCCAGTGCGGGAAGGACTGGTGGAGCAGCCACAGCAGCAGGCTCCACTGGTCCCTGTTTGTCAGGTTCAGCTTTGATGCAGCTGTTCCAGCTGCAAATCCCCTCAGCCTGCGGCCCCTCTGCCCCGCTGGCCTGGCAGCTGGATTTGGGTGGGCACCTGGCTGGCAGCTCTTTGAGGGATTCCTCAGCTGTTTCGGGGTCCAGAGGCTCAGAGCGTGATCCTAGGAGGACCATCAAATTGCTGGGTGGCCCCGGGCAAGTCTGCTCACCTCTCTGGGTTTCAGATGCCTCCTTGTCAAGTGAGGGGGTCAGAGAGGAGCATGGTTCTAATGATGTCCTGGGCGCTTCCCCTGGAGAGATGAGGGGAAACTGAGGCATCCTGCCCCCTGCCCCTCCCCCGCCCGCCGCCAACCTTTCTACTTGTTGATTGTTCAGGAAGCGGCTCCCCTCACTGCTCACCAGGTTTCCTCCTCTGCCCTCCTGCCTGCACCCACGTAGCCTCCATCCCCCAACCCCATCCGGGCTCAAGTCACACCCCTCACCTGTGTCCCAGGGAAATCTAGGTGGCT